ATGATTGCCACCCAACTTTCTTTCTTATTTTCGCTTTGTATTGTTTTTATCAGTTTAGAGATAAAGAGGTGAAATTATAATATAGGTAGTAAAATTAAATAAAAAAAAAAGATTGTAGGTTTGAGTGTGGTACCAGATTTTTTTGCCGAAAAGGTCAGCAAAGCAGCTCTCGTGTAATAGTGTTTGATTTTCTGTTTCCTTCCTCAATGGGGATTATCTGACGGACATAGAAACTATCATAGTGCCATAATGGTAACTGGAAATTATTTTAACAGTTACTCTCTCTCCTCTCTCTATTCTCTACAATCTTTGGTTTTTCTGGTATGTATCTTATTGTATCTCATACGTCTTTTGTATATTTTACTGTTTATGGGTAGGATATTAATTTAGACCTTTTAATATTTTTTGGTTTTTCAAGACGTTGAACGGCAAGAGAAGGGCTCCAGGATATTTGGAATTTTTATTCATGTGAGCTTTTATAAGCTCAATTAACATTTTCCATTTGGTTTCGGGGTCGCCGGTGTGTTTTATTGGTGGGAGATTTTTTAGTTTAAAACAAATGTGCGGTGTGTAGAGACTAGCATGATAATAGAGAATAGAAGCGAAGACATGGAAGAGGTCATGTAATAATAAAGCCCAGCAAGGAGGATAAAATGAATGAGCAATGATAACATTAACAAGGATGATGAGGTAGGAGAGAGTGTAGGAGCCGAGAGAGGAGCGAATGTGGAAGAATTGCGGAATGAAGATTGGTGTCTTTCGTTGCTCGACCACAGATGTTGGAGACTCTTTCTTTCCTTGATTGCGGACTACCCTGTAATAGTTTTCTTTACTTTTTCTGCCTTCCCTTATTATTGTTACTTTAGTCCTCATTTGTAGTTAATCCAAGGTTGCAAAGGAATTACGTAGTAGTTATATTTATGGTGTGCGCCATTTGTGGGTTCTTGCGCTGCTCTTTGTTTTAGGCCCCACAAAATATCCTGAATTTCACTAAACGCCTTAAAATCAGAGACATTTTCACATCTCCTAGATATATATTGCGGTCTGTATCCGAAGCCCGCGGCCGTCTCAAGGTTCACTTAGCCATCCCAAGTTTGTGAAAATTAATCCCTCGCGGTGGTTAAATTAGCACCACATTCACTGATGGGTGTGTAGCACAGACCTGTGTACCAATGTTGGTTAGGGCCGACCATTTCGAATTCTCCCCAGCTTGGAGAAATTGCAGTTAGTTTAGAAAGTAAAATAATGTTTCCGTGTAGCATCTTCTTATATAAGTCCCGATAATAGATATTTAAAATTCCTTACAATTAAGATGCAGTCCTGAGTGGTTGTGTGTTGTTACCTAATCCTTATTGACTTTTTTGTATAATCAACTCTATTTTCACACTATACAGGTGTTTTTCGGTCCATTTCCTTTTCATGAAGATATTGAGAGAGAGGATCATAATCCATTCAAACACCCTAATCGAGAGCAATTTACCTTCTCCCTTTAGTTATTGTAAAACGGAGAGTTCTTGCCCTCATCAGGGAAGACCAATTTAATACTTTTCTTGCCCTTTTTTTGTAATATTTTTGATATGGAATATGTTTCTCTTTTGTATAAGTATTGTTGTTCTCTCCAAACTGATCAAGAAATATTTGTAACCTATCATGCGATTAGGTTGTATATCTATAGAGTGGCACCAAATGATGGTGAAGTTCTGTGGAATATTTTTATTCGGCCAAATATTTGGCAACTCGATCTATCACTAGATAGATATATATAGCTATTATTCTTTAGTTTTTATAATTGTTAGTTAGAAATTATGAATATAATTAACAATCTGCGTATTCCACAATCTCTAATATGACTCTTTTTTGTTTGGATTTTTTGTGATATCTTCGTGTATTTTTAGCGCTTGTAATATTCTGACAGTTTATTTTTTTTTAAGTTATAAGTGACGTAAGTGTAAGAATAATTTGTAGACTGAAAGCGTAGTATTGACTGTTTTCATGTGTTGCTGTGATCTGTTCTTAGATGCAATAGAAAGTTGTTCTCATGATACATAGAGTCTCATCACCTAAACTGTCTATTACCAGTTTTTTTCTGATGTTTTTCGTTGATCTTAAGCAAAGGAGACACTTCGAATCCTACTCTATCTCGCGCTTTTGATACTATATATACATACATAGATATATATATATGAGTTCCTTCTCTTGAAGTTTCCTTTGATACAATTGTACTTTATTCCTCGTATTGCACTAGATTCTTTGTAAATATAGGAAATTATGCTGTCCTTCTATACTTCTAATTATTAAGGTTAGACGGAACCCTGACCTCAATCGTTCTCTCGCGAGGGGCGGTTTCTGGTGGTTAAAAGATATACTCACCCGATGGGTCGTATTGCGACTGTTGTGGCACAATAACTTAATCGCTTTATTGGCTCGGGTGGATTCAGAGTCTCGGCTGGATTTGTGTAGTAAGCCCATACTTCTTCACCCTAATTAGTCCCTATGTGCCCCAGAAAAGTATTTTATATGGAAAAGTCTGTTTCGAATTTGAAAATCAGAAAATATCATTATCGCATGGGCATCATGTATAAAAAAAAATGCTTGTTCGTGATGTGCTTCTAACTAGTTATTTGTCTATTCATTTTGTTTCGTTACCAAACCAACTCGCTCAAATTCATGTTAGTCCCTTGTGGTTTGTCTATTATCAGTTTTTTTGGGGCTGCAGATGTGGGATGCTGGGATAAAAGAAGTTAGTTTTGAACCCTCCCTGTAACATGTTTGGTTGTGGGAGTAGAACTCAAGTTGAATTCTCTGACCGCGCTTTACAACACTGCTCTGGGGACTCCAATCTTTCAGAGGTGGCTCTCTCATTAAGCTCATAACTATGAAGCTCCTCCCTTCTGGCTTAGACTGACTTTATCCCCCGTTGGAGCTTTTCTGTGTCAAGGCGTTTGATACCAACAATAGAAGGCCGCCATTTACTCAGTCAACCAAAAGTGTTTCCCTGTTCGCTAACCCAAATCGCGTAAGAACAATCGAGGAAGAGAGCTTTTTGACCCGCAGAGTAAATCCGTCTCATGCCCCAACTGTCGTGTGCGTGAGTGTAATTCTCTCAGACTTGAACCTCCCTTTCAGAGCCTGCCTCGCTCCTGGGCCTGTTAATTTCGAATTACTATTATCTATTGAAAATTTAAGACTAGCCAACCCTGCCAACCATCTCCCGGGTAGATAGCTGGTGGGTCCTTTCCGCAGTCCCCCATAAGAAGGCTTCTGTATGCAAGAAATTCTTGTCCGTCTTTTAATTTGAATGTCGGTCTTATTTTCTGTTCATTTTTACCTTCATACAAGTGTTTACTTTTATGTCTCTTCCTCTCATAGCTTATTTATCGATCTTTTATTCATTTTGCGGAGTATCTTTATTCATTGGATCGGAACCGGTTACACCTATGAACAGTGTCAGGTACGTATATCTTATGAAAGAGTATCTTACATTGTCAGAATGGTTATTTTTAAAAAATGTATTTTTTATTGTCTTGCAAAACATATCCTCATTCACAGTATGTACGATGTATTAAGCAACAATTTCCATAAAATAATTTTTTTATCTTCTTTATTCTGCCAATACTTTGGAGACGCCGATTTAGGATCTTGGAAGGTATGTGAAAAGAAGTGATTTGTCACTCTCTCTCTCATTTTTCAGAAAAGGGTGCAATCATTGTGCATTGATTGCCTGGTACACCCAAAGTTTTTCTACTTGCTGTCTAGTTTGTAAACCGAAGGATTCAGGCAGGAAGTGTCGACAAATTTCTTAAAGCGGGGCGTTTCTATGGGTGTTACACACGTAAGAAGGAAGGAACAAGGTTTTGCAGAAGGGAGTGTATTAGGAGAATTATTGACTACTGCAGAATGCAAAAGCTTCAGAATTATGCGATATTAAATGGTGTAAGTCTCACAGATTATAATGTGAATCATCACGGCTATTTGTTGGCTGATATTAACTCATGTGTCTCAAAAAATCAATCCAAGTTTTATGGGTGTTTCTCATCTGTTTATTATATTATTTCTTATGGTGGCCGGAAATTTAGTAGTGTTAGTTCTTTAATCGTGTGTAATCATTTGTTTGGGATTATCGTCCAAAAGGATTTATGTGTCGTAACGCGTTATATTGTTTTAGAAATGTACCATACATTGTCATTTTGAACGCACGAGATAGATGCTTCTTTGAAATTGCATTACACAAGAGCCAAACTGTCCCAAGCTCTACTGGGAACACCTCTGATGGGGACACGAAATTACAGACACTCTCGATGCACAGAAAATGATAGCAAGTTTTTGTCTTTCTCTAGGTTACTTTCATTATCGTAATATTTAACGCATAATGCGAATTCATTTTATTATCGCTCATTATTTACACTTTTAAAGCTTCATTCCTGTTTTTTGTTTATTTTTCCTGTTTCTTGTTTTATTATTTACCAAGTATACATCGTGTATCCTTGTGAGCTTCAGATGAGAACAGCTAAACTAAAAGGGGAAGAAACAGAATAGGAATTGATTTTATTTTCGCTGTTCTTATCTGAAGCTCTGATACATGGTTTACACTTGGTAAATATTTAAAAAAGGAAAAGGGAAAGCAGTATAGAGTTAATCACATTTTGGCGTGTATCTATACGGCATGTAATACATGTGGCATGAAGTCAGACAATAAATGTGATGTTCATGCGTTACAATAAAGAAGGTAAATTCTCGGAACTACAAAAACCTGTCCTTTTCTTGTGGAATCTGAAAGGATGGTATATTTTTTTCTCTCATTGGAGTTCACAGAGTGAAAGGGGAGAACGCTTCTCTGCAATTCATCTGGAAGGCTCATCGAGTTTTTACTTCTTTGTAAACCAAGGTACAATTTCGCCTGATCGGAACTTCTTGTTTCACATCAAAGGTATAGATTTTGTCTGATCTGAACTTTTCTTTCACATCATTAGAATTTTTTCTTCCGATGTTAGGATCTGTGACTGTTCTGTAGTTAATTCAAATGGTAGATCCTTATGATTTGTTGTACTTGAACATGATATACGTTATGTATGAAGTAATGGCAGGCATTGAGCTAAAAGCCTAAAAACCGCAGAAAACATATATTCATCTCCCTTATTTAAGTTTCAGTCTCTTGATTATTTGTCCATCTATCATATAGTTAATTATCTATGCTTCTGTTTTTGGTTGTATGGTTGTTGAATTTCAGGAAAAAATAGACTTCAAGGATCGAGATACATTTGAGTGCCTATTTAAAGAATATTGGGAAATCATAAGGGAAAACGAAGGTTTGACTTTAGATGATGTCTATTCCGCAGATTTACTGTTAAAGAGGGGAGTAAATAAAACATGCAGGTTTGGTTCTGTAAAAGCTGGTGAGACTGAAGAAGCTATTGACCTGATATCTGATAGTGACACTTCGGACACGGAATTTCAGAGACCGATGGGAAAAAGGAAGGCGCAAGAGTATATCGGATGGGCATCCAAAGCTCTTATTGAGTTCCTGCGATCTATTGGTATAGATACAACCAACAAGTTATCGCAGTATGATGTGGATTCAATCATCTATGATTATATCAAAGAGAGAAACCTTTTTGATCCAATAAAGAAGAAAAAGGTTATATGTGATGAGAAGCTTTATTCTATTTTCCGAAAGAAGTCCCTGGATAGGATAAAAATATATGGTCTTTTGGAGGAACATATGACCGAGAACTTGGTTATATCAGATGAAGATGATAGTGAGCTGGAAGACAAGAAGAATTATACAGTGATAGCAAGCAAGAAGCGAAGAGAGAGCTCAGGTGTTGCATCTATTGAAAAGGAAGCGAGTCCTAGCATCCAGAAAAGTTGTTTTGCATCCATAGTTCCTGAAAATATCAAGCTTGTCTACTTAAGGAGGAGTTTAGTGGAGGAGTTCTTGAAGCAGCCTGAAAACTCTGAAAGCAAGCTACTGGGAACTTTTGTGAGAGTTAAAAATGATGCCAGGCTTCGTCTGACAAATTCTCACCAACTTTTACAAGTTGAAGGTATTGTTTGTTGGAAATATATAATCTGTTATTGTGTTAATAATGTCAGATTGGAAAAAATGTTAGCCTTGTAGTCTGATTTGTTTCGATTCAATATATATGTAACATGCTGATGCATCAATTATTGGATATGCCCCTCCTCGGCATACAATGTAAGATTGATCTTCAAACGTTACGGTGGTGCTATGTTGATGGAAATGCTCTTATTTTCTCCACGGGCTTTTAAGGTGCTGAAATTCCTTGATTTATTCAAGTTTTTTTCTTTTATATCCTCGCAGGCATAAAGAAAGGCTCAACAGCTGATGGAATGGGTGGCGAAATTCTCCTGCAAGTTTCCAATAGAGATATTCCCATTTCTAAGCTGGCAGATTCAGACTTCACTGAGGTAATTGACCAGTATAAGAACTAATCAGTTTTCTGTATACGTAACATAATTTCCTCAGAAGGTTTAGTAATTGGAGAGCTCTCCACTCCTATTAATCAAACCCTCAACCTTACATGTTTTGAGGGTGAGGAGTACGACTTGGATGCTGAGACCAATTTCTATCAATCCCTTTTAGTTATATAGAGATCTAAGATTTCAAGCATCAATGTATTGAACATTTGGTACTTCATATGCACATTTGATAACTGAGAAACTTAACTTTTTGTCTTGTCCAACATTTAAGCTATAAATATTTTGTTATTCACAATTCTGGAAATACACAGATCGGTTTGTTGCTTTGATAATAATATGTGCTACTTGCAGGACGAATGTAAGGAGTTGCGGGAAAATGTGGCAAATGGCCTGCTAAGGAAACCTACAGTTGTAAGTTTAAGTTCCCTTCTTGAATCTGTCTAGTTAGGATAGCAAGTTTTCTTTGTTTTTCAGTTTAATTATCTTCTTTCTGGTTTGTGGCAATAGGTTTGTGTGGCTCACCATGAAGATCTGTATTCATATGGACCACTATGTATATTTAAAAATCGAATGTCATGAAAGTTCGTTTAGTGCATTATATACATATGTATATCTATCTTTTGTGAACGATGGTTTTTCAACCTTTAACCATAATTTATTGTTCGACAGGCCGAGCTTGAACAGAAGGCAAGACTTCTGCATGAGGATATAACTAAGCATGTAAGTAGTTCTACTTTATGGCATTAATTTCTTAAATCTGTTTCCTATTCCCCCTATGCCCCCACTCTATAACAAAATGTGAAAGCTTTTGTCATATCGAGTTTATCTGAATAGGACTAGTACATTGCCATGGAGGCAAATTGCTTGCTCGTCATTTTTCTGATTTAAATTGACGTATTGTTATCAGTGGATTGAGAGAGAGTTGGTCAGATTACAAAACTGCATTGATCGAGCAAACGAGAAAGGACGGAGAAGAGAATATCCTTCCATAGTCTATACAAAACTTCCGTAGTTAAATTTTCATAGCTTTGAGTGCATTAATCCAAGTTTGTTTTTTAATAGGTGAAAGTCCTTCCATTGGTTTGCAGTTTTTTGTTTTTAACTTTTTACTCTCAAGGAAAGTTACACCTCAGAGCCCAGTTTTCAACCATGAATGGCATCTAGTCAAAAGCAGTGGTCGAACGAGATGCCAAATTTTCTAGTATATTGATAATATTTTCTTGGAAATATCTGGTTTTGGTTCTTCATGCATCACTTTTACTCCATGCACACACAAACACAAACACGCACAAGTGCTTGAGCATCTGTCAACCTACATTTGTGTTATGCCGCTGTCTCATTGAACGACAGAGGACCTTAACCAGCTTTATGTTCAACGCTGTGGGAACTTATGGAGAAGAGAGAGATGCTAAAGCAACCCTCTGTTCAAGTTGGTCTACTAAAGGAGGTGCCAAAGGTCACTGCAGAGGTTTTAGAGGCTGAATCCAGTCCTGTGGATGCCGTAAAAGCTGATAATCAATGAAGTGTTTCCTCACTAGTCTCGACCAGCATATTGAAATACGACTGCTGTGTTAAAAGGGCTGCAATGTGGCGTTGTTAGTTTTCTAGTCTGTATGTCGTTTGTCCTTTTAAGCTTGGAATAAAACTGCTTTCATTGCAGTTTAAGACATGGCCAGCAAATCGACTATCGGTACTGTATTGATATGTTTGTATTTTATGTTTCTCATTTTCTTGTCAAGAAGCTAAAACAAAGATCAAATCTGTGGTTCCTCTTTGCCAAAGACGATTGTGTGAAGTGTTAAGTATTCTTTCTCAGTTAGAAAACAATCCACTATGTATTAGTCGAACAAATGCAAAAGAGGGATCGATGCAGCGTCAACTTACTAGACTCACACTAGAAGGTAGTCGCCTTGTAACACCCCAACCTAACGTGGTAACTAGAAGAGTTTAAGAAGGAACAAGAATGTTAGGTAAGTCAACTGTAGAATGGAAGTAAGAAAAGAGGGAGGGAATTAGAGAAGCGTGATCGCACGAAAACCTTAAAATCGAGTGAGTCTACACTAAAGAAGAGGGGGTGTGCTTAGCCTCACAATTAGCTAGCAATAATATGATTCAAATTCGTTTTTGGCAAGAATCGAACTTAAGACCTCTTACTTACAAGTGAAGAGGAATACCATTAGACCGTAATATTAAGTAGCAACAACTATTTTATTTGAATGTTAAAAGTGATTAGGTAAATCTTATATGACAAGTGTATATGCATTGGTGTTATCTAAGCTGAAAAATGATAACAATATAAGAGTTTTGTGATGTTATCAGATCCAATATTTGCTTCAATGAAATCATCATAGAGCCACAATGATATGCCCTGGGGCTGTGCTGGTGCCACCGCATAGAGAGTGTGAATGTAACTGCAGCCTCGAATTGCCAAACAAAACGGCCGGATGTATATCTGGATTCCCAAGACATGCATGCGTTACAAATTACTGACTCACTAAGCAGGTTCTTTCTTCTTTGTTATTTTATTCAATATATATAATGCTCACCATCTCATTTATTATCGTTAGATGAGTTTAAATTTGAGAAATTTTATTTGAACCCATGTAAACTATTTATACACTCAACTTATACTTTAAATATGAAATATCTTTACTATCCTATTGTATAATTACTATTAAGTACAAGATGAAATTAACAATAAAAATAAAATTTATCAATAAACCCTAACCATCACATAATCTTTCTCTTACGTTCTTTCCTGGCAAAAGTCCTAAGACGCTCTCATAGACCTTTATCATCGTCATGATCACTACCACCACCACCATCCACCAACCCCACCACCACCATCACCATCTCCAACGCTACTCATCACCTGCTTTTACTTCTGCTACTACTACTGCCAAAACAACAAGCAGCAGATGATCAAGATCAACACCTAGTTCTAAATCAAGTATTTTTCTTCAATTTTAACTATCCATTTTAATTAAATAATTAACGTTCTTTTAATTCTTTAATTAACATGTTCAGATGTTACTCATGTTTAATTAGTAGGCTTGCTATGCAGGTGCACTGCAAACATGTGAGAACATGATAATCATTGCACTTTGTTTCATTTTGTTTGTGCACTATTGAGTGTTTATAATTAGTCCTTTGATCTTATTATTATTTTATTTTATATATTCTAAACGAGTTTCCATTTCTCAGTTTCTAACTTCCGTGCATGCTTGCTAGCTGTTATTCCCAGTACTGCAAGTTAGCTTGCAAAATATGCATGCATTTGTTAAACTAATTAGGGTTTGATTAATTTGGTTTGACTCTCATAGTCTCATCTCATGACAACTGTGTTCAATTAGATTAATGGATTTAATTAACATGGATGTTCATGAGATTGATCCGGATAGCTTCTAATGTACATATTGAATTGAGTCTGTGAGGGTAATATTAGTTGTAAATTTGGGTTTAAAGAGAGATTAATAGTTTGATAAAAAAATAATATCGGTGTAAAAAGTAAGCTAGGTGTAGAGATATGTTATATGAATTCAAATAAAAATTCCCTTTAAATTTTGAAATTTGTGTTTATACACTACATAAATTTTGAAATTTAAACGCATTTAATAATGATAAATAGGATGTTGGGCAAAAATATTCCCTAAATTTTCCCAGTGGGGTGCATTGGAAAGGAAATATCGATTGGATAGGACTGGACAAGACAATCCGAATAAGCAGGAGAGACATTAGGTAATGAAATTAAATAAAATAAAAAACTAGGCTGTAATTCTTTTCAAAAAAAAAAATCCCAAGCTGTGTTATTATTTGTTGATTCCTTCCTTACTTCACTGGGGATTCTGGAACATGCATGGTAGTAAAGTTACAATTCTACAATTTGGTATTTACTACCTCTCTCTCACTACTCACTTTTTTGTTTCTGCAAATATCTATCTATCTATATATATGTGTGTGTGTGTGTGAGCTTTTTATTTATGTTAAAGTAAAAGGAAGGATTGGATTTTGTATATGTGAGCTTTTATAAGCAGTAATTTGTTTATTTATTTGGTGTTGATGGTGTTTTTTGGGGGATTTTGTGTGTAGAGACTAGAGATCTAGAGAGATAGAAGGGCAAGGATGAGGAGGCAGAAGATCAAGGACGAAGAAGAAGAAGAAGAAGAGAAGATAATAAACAAAGAGGAAGATGCAGAAGAGGATTGGTGCTGCGCCTGCAAAGATGGTGGATACCTCATGTTATGCGATTACATGTCAGTTCCTCACTCTCCCTTCCCTTTTTACTTTTCCTGATTGCGTTTCAGTATGTGTGTATTTGTGCGCACTTGGTAAAGTTTGAATTTCTCTCGCTTAAAAATCAGAAACGTTTTAGTGTCGTTAAGGTGTGTGCGCGTGTGTACATGGGCTTAGGTCACTCAAGTTTGAATTTTCCTCGCTTGAAAATCAGAGTAGTTTCAATACATATATACATATGCGTATGTGTTCGTGCGCGTTTAAATGTTGATTAGACCATCCAAATTTAAATTCTCTTGGTTTGAGAATTAGAATAATTTAAAATTGTTCCATTAGACACAAAAGTAAATAAATAAATAAAAATTCTAACAAAACATGATGATGGTTTTGTGTTGTACCATCCAATTGACTTGAATGTCACCATCAAGTAATATGCCTTAAAAGAAAGTATAACAGTCATAGATAGTCAATCATCCATCCACATCTCCCAACATTTCTTTCTCCTTGTTTTGCATTACCAACAGAGCAGTCACACAACTTAATACGATAAGAAAAATTTCAAATGATGTGAAGAAAAAAAAGTTCAGATTAGGCGAAAATTTATACTTCGGTTTATAAAGAGTTAAAAACTATAATGAGATAAATTCTTTCAGATGAACTGTAGAAAAGCCTATACTCCCCTCTCATTGTCCATAAACAAATGAGAGAAAATATACAAAGCTTTCAAATTGCACAAGAAAATGACAGAGGTTTTTGTAGTTATGAGAAGGTTTACTTTCTGTATCGTAATGCATGAACATCACATTTATTGTTTGACTTTATTCCACGTGTATTACATGCTGTAAAATATGTAATCTGATTAATAGATACATGTTAAAATGTGATTAACATTATATATACTGCTTTCACATTTCATTTTTCGTGTTTTATTATTTACCAAGTTTAAATCGTGTACCTTTTTAGGAGAAGAAACAGAGTAGGAATTGATAATAAGCTCATAAGGATGCACGATTTATATTTGGTATATATTAAAACAAAAGAAAAAGGATAAGGGAAAGCAATACAAAGTTAAACACATTTTGGTGTGTATCTATTAATCAGAACATGATTTATACAACTTGTAATACATGTGGAATGAAAGACAATAAATGTGATGTGCATGCATTACAATACGGAAATGATAATGTTAGAGAGACCATATATTTAAATCATATTTTATAAATCATATAATGTGGTTGTTGATGATTGAATTATTACTTAAGTGTTGATTAAAATATTTATTTTTTATTGGTGCACATCACATGATTTTGGTTTAAAAATTTGGTCTACCTAACATTAACCTTCTCGGAACTCCAAAAACCTGTCATTTTCTTATGCAATTTGAATGCATTGTATGTTTTCTTTCATCGGAGTTTTTCCAAAGAGTGAAAGGGGAGTATAGGCTTGCCTGCAATTCATCCGGAAGAATTTAGCTCATGTAGTTTTTAATAAACCAATGGTATAATTTTCGCCTGATCTGAAAATTTTATTTTCTTCTCATCATTTGAATATTTTCTTATGATTAAAGATCTGTGAGTGTTTCTGTTGTACTCATGCAAATAGGAAATCCTTACGATTAGTTGTACTTGATATATGTTCTGTATAAAATTAAGGGAACTTTAACGAAAAGCTTTCGGTACTATTCATTTTAACGAAAAACCACATTTTTACACTACAAAGTCAATCTTGGTACTATTCACTTTACCCTTTATTTTGTCCTTATTGTTAAAACTCAAAGTTTTCAAGTCATTTTCATTAGTTTTTCTTAATGACAGGCCTTGAGCTAAAAGCCACAGAAAACATAAAATTCATGTCGTTTATTTCGGCTTCAGTCTCTTGATTATACATGTTCATCATGGTTTAATATTGCCATAGCATGTTAACGTTGTAAGAATTTAATGTCCCAAATATAGATAGAACTAAGGAGGCTCATTGCCACCATTCGGAGCACTCATTAGTGCTTGTTGTTGAGGGTATTAATCCACATCGAGGAAGGAAGAGACCTTACATGTGCTTAGAAGTAATTGAGCACTCTCTATATTGACAATTGGTTTTAGAGTGAAATTTCAACTTTCTTCATTCATCTTCCGAATCCCCTATAAGGAGGCTCCCGTATGGTAGAAATTATTGTAGCGTCTTTTAATTTGAATGTTCTAGCTGTTCATCTACTTCATTCGGATGTCTGATCATGGTTGGTTGACATGGTCCTTTATCTTTGAAAGAGTTCTTAACATTTAAAAAGGTATAAACTCATTTTTTTATGTCGGAAAATTTCCCGTCACAGAAATTCACATGATTAAGCACTTCCATAAAAAAAGTTTTTTATCTGCATATTTGCAGTACACTGGAAAATTTATGTCTTGAAGTTTGAAAGATGGTGCAATTGTATGTTTCAGGGAAACATTCTTGTGCATTGTGCCTTGGTACCCCAAAGTTTTACTGCTTTTGTTTTCCGAATTCAGTATGTCGACATTGCGTAAACGGTTCTAATTTTACACGGGGTAGAGGAACAAAAGCTTTTCCAAGGAGTGTTTGAAGCTCCTTCTGGATAGATGCTTTCTTGAAATTCCTTTTTCATCTATCTGCATTAACAACAGAACTGTCACATATATCTAAATGCCATAAGAAAATTTTCAAATGTGCGAAAGAATAAAAGTCCAAATCAGGCGAAAATTTATACCTTAGGTAAAAACTACAATGAGAGAAATTCTTCCAGATGAATTGCAGACAAGCCTATACTGCCCTCCCACTCTTTGGGAACAACTTAGATAAATATACAATGCTTTCAGTTTGCACAAGAAAACGACAGAGGTTTTTGGAGTTCCGAGAAGGTTTACTTTTAATATTGTAATGCGTGCACATCACATTTATTGTCTGACTTCATCCCAAGTGTATTGTATGTTGTAAAATTTGCGTTCTGATTAATAGATACATGCCAACTGTGATTAACTCTATTTATACTGCTTTCACTTTTCCTTTTTCTTGTTTTATTATTTACCAAGTTTAAATCGTATACCATACATGATTTATACTTGGTTTTAAAAATAAAGAAACATGAAGAGGGAAAGCAGTATTGAGTTAATCACATTTTGATGTGTATCTATTGAGCAGAACACGAATTATACGACATATAATACATGTGGAATGAAGTCAGACAATAAAAGTGATGTGCATGCGTTATAATACAGAAAGTAAACCTTCTCAGAACTCCCAAAAACCTTTGTCATTTTCTTGTGCAATCTGAAAGCATTGTATATTTTCTTTCATCAGAATTGTTCCTGGAGAGTGAGAGGGGAGTGTAGGCTTGTGTACAATTCATCTGGAAGAATTTCTCGCATCATAGTTTTTAATAACCAAAGGTATAAATTTTCGCCTGATCTGAACCTTTTTTTTTCTTCACATCATTTGGAAAATTTCTTATGATTAAGATCTGTGACTGTTTAGTTGTTAATGCAAATAGGAAATCCTTACGATTTGTTGTACTTGATGTATGTTCTGTATAAAATTAATGACGAAAGCCTTGAACTAAAAGCCACAGAAAACATAAAATTCATCTATTATTTCAGTTTCAGTCTCTTGATTATACATGTTCATCATGGTTTAATTATCTATGTTTCGTTTTTCGGTTGTATGGCTGTTGAATTTCAAGAAAAATAAACTTGGAGGATCGAGATACATTTGAATGCCTATTCAAAGAACATTGGGAAATCGTAAACGAAAATATAGACTTCAAAGATTCTGCAGATTTACTGTTAAAAGAGGGGAGAAAATAAAACATGCAGGTTTGATTCAGCAAGAGTAGGCGAAACTGAAGAAGCTAGTGACCTTATATCTAACACTGACACTTCGGACACAGAATTTAAGAGACCGATGGGAGAAAGAAAGGCACAAGAATATATCGGATGGGCATCCAAAGCTCTCATCGAGTTCCTCCAATCAATTGGTACAGATGCAACGAAACAATTGTCGCAGTTTGATGTGGAGACGATCATATTTGATTAGGATACAAATCTATGGTCTTTCGGAGGTACATATGACCGAGAACTTGGTTATGTCGGATGGAAATGATAGTGAGCTGGAAGACAAGAAGAAAGATACGATGACAGCAAGCAAGAAGCGAAGAGTGAGCTCAGGTATCGCGTCTATTGAAAAGGAAGCGAGTCCTCGCGTCCAGAAAAGTTGTTTTGCATCCATAGTTCCCGAGAATATGAAGCTTGTCTACTTAAGGAGGAGTTTAGTGGAGGAGTTCTTGAAGCAGCCTGAAAACTCCGAAAGCAAGCTACCGGAGACTTTTGCGGGAGTGAAAAATGACGCCAGGCTTCGTCTGACAAATTCTCCGTAACTTTTACAAGTTGAAGGTAATTGTTTGTTGGCAACATCCAGGCTTGTCTGGATATTGCGTACTGTTAACTTTTTTCATCGTGACCAACATTTGAGCTATAAATATTTTGTCATTCGCAATTCTGGAAATACACAGATCGGTTTGTTGCTGTGGTAATAATAATTTTGATCAGAAATTTCTGTCCATAAAGAGTATTGTGGAATTCAATTGTGCTACTTGCAGGAAGAATGCAAGGAGTTGCAGGGAAGTGCATGGAGTTACGGATTTCCATCGTTGTAAGGACTCTCATTTAACATTATAAATACGTCGCACTAGGGCTCAAAAGGGGGATCAAATATCTAATCCAACACAAATCTCATATCTCAAGATAACACATGTCATATTCAACGCATCTCTACATGCTCATACATGGCACTACACGTGATTTGATTCTTCCTCTTCGACGTGGAGATATCTAGGCAATCATTCCCGGGATCCAATCACACCACCCAAAATATCCCCCTATTCTCTAATGTTCATAGGATTCCAGCAATTGTTCGTATACCAACAGTTGTGCACGAATTTGGTTTCAACATTTTTCGTTCGGTGTCTAGAAATGGATTGGATTAGATAACTCACTAGATTGACGTACAACTAGATGAAGATATTAATTTCAACTTTCAAATTTGTGAAGTTGAAATTAAAAGATGAATTAGTCATAAACAGAAAACTTCTCCTTCTCAATCCCCACAAAACAGGCAAAATTGGAACGCAAAAGCTTCCCTTGCAACTAATCCATACAAAATTGAAAGTTGCATCAACTTCTTTCCTTCAACATCAAATTGCATCTATTTCTTTCCTTCAATTTAATCCAATTCAATCTTCGACCCCAAATGAGACTTTCAGATATTGTATGCCAGCTAGGGATAAAGAAAGAAAAGAAACTGAGCTGAGTTTTAAACCTACAGGTTTAAAGCATGCAGCACACTAATCTAAACACTCATCAGAATAACAACAAACCAAAACAAATATCCATAGCATTACAGTAAAACACACAAATTATATACAAGTCTTTGAACAGGCGGCAAAACTACATACAATTCCACCAAAATATCCCAATAAATCTAGACATTAAGACACAAAATTACCACTCAAACGCCATCGATAGCATTTTTCAGATCTCCACCAAATAGCGACATGAGAGGTCCTCCGTGGACTCTCCCTTCCGGGATTTTGAACTCCAAGCTCTTTATCCCACTACAACTGCCAACACCGACGCCATACCCGTCTCTCCCCTCCTCAGGCTTCTCAGAACTCGAGAACTGTGAATAGGATGATGAAGACTTCATCGATAGAGGAACCAATACCTGCGAGGGTATGAGATGTGTTTTTTCGGGCTTTTCCAGTGAATCCATGCTGTCAGAAATGGCACTGGTTCCTGAAGAAGAATGATTGTTGTCAAAGCTGCTCCCTGCAGTTGAAGCCGCAGATACAAGCCCATGGAAAAGTCCTGGTCCAATGAGACCTGCCTTATCTATCCCCCGGTCCTGAACCATACTGCTATGAGCAGCACATAAACCACTCTTGCCCCTGGCGAATTTTTCACATTTACCCTCTCCCCAAGTGCATCGCTTTCCCCCACCATGGGCCTTGCAGAAGTCTGTGCTCCCTTGGGCACTTTTTCCACAGTTATCAAACTTACAACGCTTACCTCCACCATGCCTAACACAACAATCAGTGCGGCCACGGGCACTTCTTGTGCAGCCTGGCACAGAACACCTCTTTCCGCCACCATGAGCAACACAGAAATTAGTGCCTCCATGTACGCTCTTAGGGCAAATCCCACCACCATCAAAGAGACAGCGCTTCCCCCCACCATGTCCCTTGCAGAGTGGTGTGCTTCCTTCGGCACCCTTGGTGCACCCTTGAAATATGCAACGCTTTCCACCACCATGTGCCTTGCAGTACATAGTGCTCCCTTGTGCTCCCTTTGCACACGCCTCGTGCTGGCAACGGCGACCACCTCCATGCGAGATGCACAAACCAGCCTGTCCTTCAGCACTACGAGTGCAGCCATCCACCTTACACCTTTTCCCTCCCCCATGTCTGATACAAAGTCCTGATTTTCCTCGTGCAGCCTTGGTACATCCACCTGGATAACTACATCTTTTGCCACCACCATGAGCTATGCAGTACTCTGTTTTCCCCTCAGCACTTTTAGTGCACCCCAAGTGTTGACACCTCTTCCCTCCACCATGTGCCTTGCAGTACGCCGTTCGGCTCTCAGCACCCTTCTTGCACCCAGGTTTTTGGCATCTCTGTCCGCCCCCATGACCAATACAAAGACCTGATGCCCCTCGTGCTCCCTTTCTACAGCCAAAAAATTTGCATTTTTTTAGACTGCTAATTCGGTTGTCTGAAGATGCCCCTGTAGTTGTCTGCTCAGATATTGATTCTGTTGAGTAATCTGTTGTAACAGAAGGTTCATGCCTTAGCTCAGTTAGCTGGCATTTGTCCCCGAGGTTTAAAAGTTCTTTACTGTGCAGAGAAAGATTGACACTGTCACTCCTAGGAGCAAAAAGAAGTGATGGCATATAACCACCTGATTTCCTGGAAGAAGTAGAACCCTCATCAACAAGTGGAATTGGGAGTTGATTATCTTCAGAAGATACACGAGTAATATTAACATCAGTCTCTCCCGAAATTGAAAAATCAAGCACAGTTGAAGCTTCAAGAGTCCCACCAGAAAGACCGAGTTGAAGGATTGAATCACCGTCAAAAGCAAATCCCTGAGATAATGCAGTGGTTGATCCTCTATTCTTTGTGGGTCCAAAATTGTAATAATCATCGCAGTATGCACTTGGTGTCGGGCCCAATCCAAGTACCAACTTACAGCCGTCATCGGGAGCACTGGAACAGTTGACCCTAAAATTGTTTTGTCTACACCTATACCTGGGTGTGTTGCTTCCACCGGAGCCAGGGCTATTCAAGCATAGAGCAGTATCACCAAAGTGGTCATTTTTTGTGAACTGACCATCATGAGAAAATAGTATACTCTTCTCGTTCAAATCCATTTTCTCAAAACTGTGCGCTAAGAGACACAAGTAACAGATCACTCTTTACCACGTACAATTACAAAGTCGACACAATGGAAATAAACGAAGTAGAAGCTAATGTGCAACCCCCAGCACCCCAATCAATAAAATCTTACTTCGAAAAAATCTGACTACGTTTCTTGGATAGAACCCCTTTATAAGAATAGTTAATATTGGCGTGCAGAGATCGTTGGAGCTTGTTGTGCTCCCTGCTGTAAAATCATTTAGCTTCATTAACCCTGAAGTAAGAGGAAACAGAAAACACAACTGAATTAATGAATAAACCCAACTGATGGAAATTATATAAACTGGAAAGATAAACCAATGTCATGCAAATCCACTGCAGGAATTTAGTTCTAAAAGAAACAAAAAACAAAGGAAAATATTCTAGGTTATGGTCAACGTCAATTCAAGAGGAAGAAACAAAGTTTTCAGAAAAGCCAATATGACACATACCGATAATATGTGACAGGATAATAAGTAGAAGTAAGAGAGTCTGAATCTAACTCAAGTGCAGAGTCTGACAAACAGTATCTAGTTTTCCATGTATTAGCAAAAAGAATGAAAAATTTGGAGAAACTCGAAATTGGAAAATGCATTGAGCTTGGAAAGAATTTGAACGACAAAAGTTGTCTGCAAACCAGCAAACTAAGTATAAAAATTTTGGAAACATCCAATCTAAAATGCCAATACAAATAAATTTTCCAAAAAATAAGAAACTAAATTCCCGATATAAACTCACAACTTGTAACCATGAACCCATGATCCAAAGGTGCAGCAGCAACAGGAGATCGCACAACTCAATAACATAAATTTGACATTTATAACCCAGTACTTATAAAGCATAAATGAGTTAACTGTTGTTAAATTTTTCGCCATGATGCAACAGAGTTTGACAAGAACAAAGCACTTCCAAGTCCTGACAACTGTATCGGGTTTGTTTTGATTTGCCTAAGGAAAGACAGCAACCTTCAAAAAAGAACAGAAAAATAACTCAATGTCAATAATCTTAAACCCAAAACACCAAAGTTTAAACTAAACAAGTAGCAGATCAAGGTTTTTCTAGAGTTCCCTGGCAACCATAGGATTTCTACAAAATCAGAGCATCTTCTCATTATCTACTCGTTGTCACTCCCGAGACACAATCCCCATACTCAGTGGTTACGCAACCTCAAACAAATTAAATTTTCATACGGATACAAGTTCTATTCAATTTATCTGTACTACTAATTCATCCTTTGGAACAACTAAACATTGACTTCAATTCAATTCTAATAACTCTTAACTGATACTTATTTGGTATCATATTAATGGTTGGTATTTCTCCAATTTCTCGTGTTAGCTAGTACCAATTCCAGCAACAGCAACAAACAACGATAACAACAACAAAGCCTTATCCCACTAAGTGAGGTCGGTTGTATGAATCCTAGAACGCTACTGCACTTGGTTTTGGGCCAAGTCATCCGTTAGCTCCTCCATTAGCTCCAAATACTATGTCTAGCGAGTATCAATTCCAGATGGAATATATTTCTTTTAGTACATTTCATTCAAACTTTCCAGACTCTATTCCGATCGAGTTGAATTCTTTAAATTGAATTCCTGGCTCTAGTTGTTACTTGTTTGAGATCACTTCCATGCAATATCTTAAGTCAATATCCATAACATAATTTCAACATCCAAATATCTTACCTAATTCAGATTTATTACTCTCCTTCCTTCACAAAACTAGATGTACAAACTAGCAAATCCATAACAAAAATTACAAGAACAACAACAAAAATTAATTTAGAAAAATACCCAGTAAGTCAAACACACACAAATTAACTCCACAACCTCCCAAGCCATCAAATAAAAAAAATAGATGGTAACTATATGATCATCCACCAATTACTCAAAACCAAAACCCAACTATCTAAAATAAAACAAAAAAAATAATAGAAAGAAACGCAGAGAGATGAAGAAATACATGAGCAATTCAGCAGTAGGAGGCAGATGTAATTACCTTGGGGGGAAATTCAAAGGAAATTCGGAGAGAAATGGCGCATCTGGGCAGCTGCGGGAGAAGATGCATCCCAATTTTTCTTCCAACTAAAAAAATAAAATACGAAACAACCAGAGTGCCAATTGCAATTAGGTATTTTCAAATCATGTCGGCATTATTATATTATTTTTCTTCACTTCCCATATTTTAATTTATTTTGTAATTTTATTTACTTGGTGAAATACCAGAAATAGCCTTTAGGGTCACAACTGTCGGGAGCGTGTCCATACACTTTTCCTTGAAAACGACGGCCCCTGAAAAGTCAACATTGCCCTCGCCCCCACAACCCAGTAGCGTGTGGCTTTTCGCCAATTGATTTGTGCAAAACCATGTCGCTGTTCCTAAAGTTGGAGAGATTTTTTTCGTCTAGTCTATAAATACTACAGTAAGTATTATAATATAAGTGAAAAGAGCAAATTTTACAAAAATATAACGGATTATGGGAGCGTGTGGCTTAACGGTGAAGGTTACGGCTGGATCAATCGGAGGCAAGCTCAGGCAGCAGTCCTAGGCTCAGCTTGACGATGCGCCTCGTGGTAAATATTTCATGCAATCAAGTCTGAAAACATATCGAAACTTGAATTCATGTCTTAGAAGTGACATAGATTGCAATGATGAAAATTGTGAACGAGTTTGTAACAAAATAACCTAATGAGAGAGCAGGGTGTTGTGGCATAGAGAGAGAAAATAGAGCTACAGGGGAAGTACTTTATCGTAAACATAATGAACTTACTTCTCATACAAGTAAGAAAGTCTAATATCTTATCGATTATATAAAAAAACTTAAATACAGTATATTTGGATTTACATAATCACACAAATATTTTTTTTTAGTACATCAATATTTTTACATTAATAGAAGAGAGAGTTCGACAAAGTCACACAATGGACAGCCTAACTTAATATCGAATTCGCCATCCACGAGATTCGAACATAAGATATTTCACTTATAAATAAAGAAGAATACCACTAGACCGTATTATTGAGTGGCTAATCACACAAATACTTTAATTCTAATCACAACAATCGTCCATAGGTTCCACGCTGTAAATGTATTTTGACAAAATTGTCCCTCGATTTGGTTAAACGAATGAGAATTAATTGAGCGTTTCCTGGTGGTGGCTTCACTGCCAGTTTGCTGCAGACGGCACACACACGTCCTCAACTGCAATTCGTCGAATCTAACAACATTCACACGCGTCGTCATCCTATTGGCCAGCACTTCCCATAATAGTTCAGTTCCTTATGCCGATTCGATCCCAACTACGTTGGTTTCATTGGAAAGTGTGCAGCATTTAGTGCACGTGTGACACTGTGTGCCTTGTGCGGTTGTGCTTACGTTGTCATGGCCTATTATTAACGAAAACTTAAATGACACGAATGGACCGTCACGTGACTTCATGTGTTAGTAAAATAAGGTTATGTTGATAAAAATTTACGCATTTTTATTTTATTAGTATTAGTCGCCATATTAACAGTGTACTAGTGTTGTGTAAAAATAATTTGTATTGCTTGGGTACACCTCTATAATAACTTCACGTGCTAGTAATACAAGGACATGTATAAATTTCTCTTTTAATGTTTATGTATGGATAATACTTGAATTTTCCCTTGGGGGTATGGGTTCATTTTCCCACTTGAAAATAATGTAACTTCATCTTAGAAAATTTATAATTGGAAGCTGCTCAACTTTTTAATTTTCATTTAAAGATCATCCTTACAAAAAATCTTTCTAAATCGAGATTGTTTAGTCATCCAAATGTATCAGATAAATCAACTGCTCATTATTAATAGCTACTTGGTACAAATAACGTTGATTCAATTGATACATTTACATGACTAAATGATCTCATATTAGAATGAGTATTACTAGGGGTCTTTTCATTTTTTTTTTTTAAAACTAAAATCTTATTTAGTAACAACAACTTTGGCACCGAGTTTTTAAAATTTGGCACTAATTTTTCACATTTTGGTTTTAGGTTTTTTTTTTATTGAAAAATAAAAATAGTTACCAAACAATATTTCAATACTAAGTTTTCAAAAAAAGTAAAAAATGAAAATAGAATGGTTATCAAACGATCACTAAGTTCTTTAAGCAAACATGTGTCACATTATTAGAATTAGTATTATTTCTTCTTTTCTTTATCAAAAAAACAAGTTCATTGGTTGGTACGGATCTGTTGACTTTCGACATAAGACAACTTGATCATTTCATTCACCAGCTTGTTTTCTATGCTAATCATGATTAGCAACTTAACCTTACCTAGGTTGTTCAATAGGTTGGATGTTTCCTTGTCATTTTCTGTTCCCAACTAACACCTTTGATTAATCAGAAATGACCACAAAATCAGGTTTATTATATGTTAGCATGCATTCATGAGATAGAGAGACATCTCATTAGTAGTAAGTATATTGACATATGGTAGATCTAAGTTTTATATTTCCTTGGGTAATCTTGTGTCACTTTAGGACACCGTAAATAGGCTAACTAAAATTTAAATTGAATAGCTTGTAACTGCATGAATCACATTATATTATAGTTTATGTAAGTACAGGTTGTTACTCCGGGGATTGATGTGACGTTACGGAAGATATAGATAAAAGAGAGTACGAATAGTTATCTTTGAATAGATTTTTCGAACACCATAGAATCGAGAAAAACTTTCGAATTTTGATTAATAATATGATAAGATGAACAAAATACAACTCTAAAAGTTGTTTAATAATCTTAACAAACCCTAGCGCCAGATAGAAAAAAACAACAAATAACAAAATATCAAAAAAGACGTTAAAATATTAAAATCTCGTTTTAGGCTAGTAAAAACTGAAATTCAGGCAAATTCTGACTAGGCTTGTTGTCTAACACAAGACTTGTAGATCTCGTCGTTTTCTTCGAATCCATATATAATGGTCCCAAAACTGACAAGCCAAAGAAAATGTACGTTAATCTGAACAACCTGAAAAGTCCAAAACATTTACTTCCGAATATGCTAGCAGCGAATAACTTTTTAACCCATAAATTACCAATTCTCCAATCACTTTTCTTGATTAAAAGTTGCTTCATTCTTTTAATTTTCCTCATCTAAAACACCAATTTTATTCTACATCATGATTACAACTTAATACTAATCGATTAAAGACACAAAGATTAAAAAAAAACGGAAGAAATTAATAACATGACAATAGACGGTAAGAATCATCAACATAGTCGAGTGACGAACATGGAAAAGTTAGCAAATGAATTTTGAAAATTAACAAGGCAACAAGAACAAAATCGAAACTAAATAAACTAGGGTTTCATATGCCACCACCAATCTTCATACTCAAATCTTAGAGGCAAGTATTCTAGATTTAGTCACATATACAGACACTACGTACACAAGTTCAAGTACTTATAACATGCAACTAATCCCTGATCCAGAAAATTTAACAAAGTAGAAATTCATTAAGAGTGTAAAATGTAATTAGCCCAAAAATCTAATTGTAAGGATGGAATAAATGAATGACTCTTCACAACTTAAATTTAATATGTATCTCATTAAAATAGTTCCATATTCTACCATCCAGTTAGACATAATGTTTTGATTTCTCCACTCAACATATGTTTTAAGTTAGAGAAGTCTCATTCCCAATTCAATCCTCATACCAAAAGAGGCCTAAAACTATTGGTTATTTGACCTAAGCCTAATTAAGTGATGTGTGATGATCTTGTTAGATCCCCCTTATCCCCACACACCAACCAAACCACAATCTAAATTAAAATATCAAAAGCAAGATTCTAATTGAGTAGCAAGCCCAACATTAAGTGACAGGCCTTGTCACATTGGTTGGGGTTTAATATATCAACTGCTCTGTATTTAATAATACGTAGCATTGAAGTTGAACTCTAATTTTTTATGTGAATTTGTTCTTATCCAAAGAAATATTGCAAGGCAAAGAAAAAAAATTAAAGACAAACCCAATACTTGATTTCATTTTTCAAATTAGTAATTCTTTGATTTTGAACAAGATTTGAGAGAGTTTTGACAACTCTCCCAACTTATTCATTGCTCAAAATTTTCCATTCCGCTATCTCTATCTCTCCTCACGGAAAATGATTGAGAAGACACTGAAAAGAATTACAGCAGCAGAGAGGAGTTGAAAACTTGTATCAAATCCTAACGCTGAAAGAGTGTTTCAAGCTTCCCACATGAAGCACATGCTCTCCCAAAGCTACCTTTCTGTTTCCAAGCTCATCGACCACGCTCAGGTGCTTGCAAACATCCACGTTGAACTTAACCAATGCTACTCTCTGAGCACTCACGAACACCTTCTCAAAACCCAGCAAGTGCTTCTGCGGCGACTTGTGCACTGCCGGAGGACTCGAAAACAGCATCACCGTATGACTTCCACTCATACTTCCCATGTTCTTCACCCCCAAATGTATATCAAAAGCTAGGTTTTCGCATCTTTCTTCCACAACGTCAAGTGACTTGCAGCTTGATGAGTGACATACATGACCCTCTTCTAAGGGAATCGATACCAGCTTAGGCGCTCGAACTAGTTTGTGATTGAAGGTGGAGTAGCCTAGTCCATCTCCAAAGGAGTAAACGGTTTCACCAGTGAAAAATCTGTAAGTCCGGCCAGGGTAACCGTTCGAAGGATCCGGTCTCATGTTCATGTTTGTCATTGGAACCTTGTCTACATAAGATTGTGGATACCATGTCATAGGTAGTCTCCCGCCTGCAACAATTAATAACATATATGTCATTCAGCTAGTTACGATTAGGATGTATAATTATATAACTATATATGTGTGCAGTGAAAATTTTGAAAAATTAAGAAAATAAGGACTATATATAGCTAGCTTACTTGGATTATATTGACCAAAAACTACATCAGCTACCGCAGCTCCACCAGCCTCGCCGGGGTAACCAACCCAAAGTATGCTTGTAATTTTAGTATCGTTTTTGGCAAATGTAATGTCGAACCCTCCTCCAGACATTATGACAAGGATTACTGGGCCTTTTGCTGCCTTTGCAACTTCTGTTACGAGGAGTGTTTGCTGTCCCGGAAGAAGCAGGTCAATCCTGTCAAGACTTTCTCTCTCAATCGATTGATCTGCACCCACGACAAGTATAGTTGCATCTGCTGAGGCTGCTATCTTGGTAGCATCATCTACCTGTGCAGTACCACAAGCCACATTGGCGCAGCCGGCAACATAACTCGTTGCAACTGAGGCACTTAGGCCTTGCAGAATAGTTGTATACTTGCACGGCGTACCTGAAAAATTGTAATTCAGAACAATAACTTAAAGGCAATGGAGTTGTAGTTTCGTTCGATACAAACAAGAAAATTAGTTTAATTTATCATGTGTTGCGTACGTATTGGTACCTTCGTAGTTTCCGATCATTGTCTTTTGGACATTGGCATTGGGACCAATGACCGCCAAGGATTTGATGGCCGTGGGAGACAGAGGCAGTGATCCCGGACTGTTTTTTAGCAGTACTATCCCTTGCCTGGCGGTTTCACGGGCTAGCTCCTGGTTCTCTGAGGTACACACATCTTTTGGACCAAGCTTTCCATAGGGTTTGTCGCTGGGATCACCATCAAAGAAGCCTAGACGCATCAAAGTAGCAAAATTGTTGGAGATGGCCCTGTCAATGTCGGCCTCCGTCACAAGTCCTGCTTGGACTGCACCTGGCGTGTATTGTCCGAGGAAAGATCCGCAGTTGAGATCCAACCCTGCCAATATAGCCTTAGCTGCAGCTTCCTCTGGTGTTTTGGTGTAGTGTTGCTGCTTGTAGTACACATCTATTGAATCACAATCCGTAACAATGTATCTGCACCAATATCCAATCCAATCCAATGTTACTTATGTAACTTCAACGCCTATATATTCTCAACCATCCACAGTAACATTAACAATTATACAACCGAAAGAATATGTACCCATTTAGTTTCCATTCGCCTCGGATAACTCCAGCAAGAAGGTCGGGGTCTGCACAGGTTGGTATCCCGTTAACCTGGTTGTAAGAACACATGACACTTGCAACATTGCCATCGATAACACAACTTTTGAATGGCGGTTGAAATGTGTCGTCCAGATCTTGTTTCGTTACCTAACAATCACAAGCAACACAAGATAAATTAGTGAGACGAAAACTTTGTGCAAATTAAATCAAGTACATTAGAATCGACACTCAAAAAAGTCGAGAAAATTCTGTTTCTTTACCACTGCATTAAAATGGTATCTGTCAACCCCTTTCCAATTGTCTACATCGTAGGCTGTATAATGTTTGCAGCATGCAGCAACCTTAAGCTTATTCTTGTCACCATCGTCGGTTTGTTGAAGGCCTCGAACATATCCGGATCCGTATTTACTCGAGAGCAACGGATCTTCACCCGGAGTCTCCTGGCCTCTTCCCCATCTGGGGTCTCGAAATATGTTAATATTTGGTGACCAAAATGTCAGTCCTGCCAATCCCACATTGTACATTGCTCTGGCCTCCGTCGAAACCACCTGACCGTGCAGAAAACAGCTGTTTAGGCATGCCATTGTAATTGCACGAATACAAAATTAATCATATTAGCATATATCAAGTTTATCATTCTATGCATTGAAGTTCAAGTGACTTACCATGTACATATATATACGTATATCATCTTCTTAGCAGGGATCTCTTTTACGATAGTAACAACAGAATAGGTATATGATCACTGTAGGAATAATGTATGTACTATGTAAGACCTCTTATACATTTCACCTTTTACCTTTTTTTTCCTGTAATACGATGGTCAATATACAGTAAATATATAATCTCTACGATGGTATCGCCCTATTTTTGCGATAGTTGAATGAGATCCTTACTAAGAAGGGTTGAAGGGTTTTAAGTACAGAATTTTCACTTTAGAGCTTAGGGTTAGCCTTCTGGTTTATGGTTACCTTCATAGAACTCGATCCCATGGATGCTATTCCTCAATTTTTACAATACCAGTAAATGAGTTGATCATTTCATGCACCGACCAAACTCATGGATATTAGAAAAACATCTGTATGATGGAACCATATGCAACAAGACAATTCCTTGTGTAAAAAAGTAAAAAAGTGTGGCACGTTCAAACAAAATGGTCAGTGAGCCATTATTTCAATATATTATAAGATATATATATATATATATGCACACACACACATACTTTGCCCAAATTTGGATCTATGCATCCGAATAATCTACTTTATCATTATGTATTTTACAAAGTAATTAGTATACAAAAAAGTATGTGTATATTTATATTGTAACAAAAAAATGCGTATATATATATAATATATATATTCTTAATGATTGAGCTTGTTTTTCATTAAATTATGTTCATCATTTGTCCGCACGTTTACTGTCCAAAACATGATATATATTTTTAATTTTGTTTTATTATTTTTGGGGGAACGCTTTCCCTTTAAAAGATGTGAAGTTATATATGCATTAAGTAATCCATGTTCACAGGCAGTCGACCAGTATCAGTATCATCCATTCACCCCCCTTGTTGTACGTTTTCTTCTTCTGCAAGCTGGAATCACCTAAAAAGTGTACTTACTTGGGGAACCTGTGACCCCAAAAATCAAACTTTCTCACCAACTACTACTATTTTCCAAGGACTAACTCCAAAAATCAAGGTCAAATCTCCCATGTTCATGAAGCAGTAAAAGCAGATGATATTTATTAAACTAACCTCCTCAATTTTTGTTCAATTTGGAACTAATCTCTAACAACTACGATCCAATCGCAGATTCTTCTTCAACAAAAAAATTTCGGTGCGATATTTGACTACTTGACTAGGACACCTCTTACGCCAAGTGCGACCGGTATCTAATTGGGTGAAACGAAACAAAGATGGAGTACTTATGTTTGTGAAAGATACCTACGGATGCTGTTATCGGGCAGGCCCAGCACTAAGAATTTTTCTCCTATTTCCTTATCTAAAAGGAAAACGACTGACGGATGCTTCTCTGTTCAATAGCTGTAAAAGCATTTTTCGGATACAAAATATGTGTACAACATTATATACATATTTCTATTAGTGGGTTTAAGCAATTTGACATTTAGTTTAGATGCATCGACTCAACCATAACAAGAGACAAACTAATAATACACTAATCTAATTAGTAATGATTATTGATGATGGTGAGGGTGACAGTGACACAAGGGGCGGTGAAAGATTCAAGACGTAAAACAAAATCCATGATTAATCGATTGAACTTTGATCAAGTGCCGGAAAATTGCTAATTAGTTATTTTTTATCCACCAATAACCGTGTCCATCAAATTTGAATGAAAATTATATTCAAAGCAAACAAAAAATGATGCAAATAATTAGTAATGTTTTGCATGGCACGAATATAATTTGGCAGAATGAAGGTGAAAGAGATGAAGTTAATTATTAAGTAGTGTCAGTTGCGTGCTTACCCTGCCAATGGCTTCAAAGAGAGAAGTATTGAAAGAAGCGGCAGTGAGGATGACCTGAGGAAAGCTGGTAGCTCCGGGAACGAGGCTCGAAAACTTGGTGCCGGGGCCGACGTATGAGACGCCGTGTAATGCTTCTGACCACCACTCGTATTTGGGAATTCCAAGCCTGCTCACACTCCCTGCACTGTTCACCAAAAACCCGATTTTCTCCGGCAATGTCAGCCGCTTCACCAAGTCCGCCACTCTCGCATCGACCCCCAAGGACGTATCGCAGAAGGCGAAGCTCGATAGGGTTGCGTTGCTAGCGACATCGCAAGCGAAAACCGGCGACGATTGGCCTAAAACGCCCTTAAAATTTGGCGAAAAGAATAACAAGTATTGAAACAAAAAGGAGCAGGGGAAAACAGAGAACCAAATGATAGAGGAGGCCATTGTTTGTAATTGTGAAAGGAGGGATGGGGTGGCTTCTTTAAACAAGTTCCCAAAGAAGCAAAAGGGTTGTTATTGTTGCCTCAATGCATTTCCTCCATGCCTACGCCTTTTATGCCTCCTATGCCTTCAATGCCTCATGGGCTTATGGGTTGGTACTAGCAGGTTGTTACACACACACACACACGTGTATATATATATATATATATATACGTAGTTATATATAATGATATAATAAAAAGAATATATGGTGGGTTATTTTCAATAATTAGAATTTAGAAAGTAGGTAAGCAATGGGAAGAAAAGGAAAGTACAACTAAATAAAACCACGTTGTTTTTTAGCAGCCCGTGAAGGGCAATTGGGAGGACTAATAGCAGCTTCCATTAAATGGAATGGTGCATGACATGCTGGCAGTGGCAGGAAGCACAATTTGCCATTTGAGAGAATCTAGCGCCATGTTTTGGTGCTAGCTAGGCTAGTACTTATTACTTGGGACTTGGTAGGACGGGTTTATACGAGTCGGTGAAGTATTTCCCCTTTTCTATCTGTTCGGGATTGGGTCTTCTGCTTCTCCATTTTGGGAGTGTGTACTGTATAACATATATGCCATGCATGCATGTGAATGAGAGAGAGAGAGAGAGAGAGAGAGAGAGAGAGAGTCATAGGATAGGAATAGTAGGAGGATAATAGGACATATGGTTGATGCTTACGTACGTTGTATGAAATAGTGCTGCAGGTTAATTTGAGCTCGTTGTTTGAGATTGAGAATTGGCCAATGGGGTCGGTTTTGGCGTACTCGGTAACATACACTCACGTGAACCGGCCGGTGAGAGAGATTCTCCTGTTCATCATATTTCGGCTTTATACTAACCCAAGCCAACCCTAGGAAGGTAAGTCATGCACTTGATACAGCCCTACAAATCACATGTGCTTCCTCTCAATCTTTTCATCCATCGAATAGGACGTTTTAGGGTCTTTTTAAGAATGTTAGGATTACGGTGTAGTGATGATATTTTTCTTTACTTGTAAGTGATCTTATGAATGACGAGTTCAATACTAATTTATTCTCCATATATAGTGTAAACTTATTGCTATATCACAAAGCCTAATGAATATGTAAGAACTTGCAAAACACCAAATATAAACAAATAAATTATAAAACCACACGTAGAAAAGGTGAGACAGACTTGTAAGCTCAGAACCCACAAAAAGTTGACCGTAGAGGAGAGTAGCTCTAAATTGGCTAATTGGTCATCAACAACATTTCCTTCTAGAAACATATATATGTGAGCAACGAAAAATCCTATGATGTAAAAGAGAGAATTTGTCTAGTGAGTCTGAAGAGATCAAGGGTTTAGGGTTTAGAGAGACTCGCTAACAGCCCACTATATCAACACATTCTCTCTTTAGAGTAAAGAGACCCGCCAATCACCCACTATTAATTACACTGATATGGTACCTCTCAACCCGCTTCTTAATTATCACATGCATAATAGGGCAGCTGTGAAAAACTTTGAGAGGCATCTGTCGTCCAAGAATGAGGTGGTGAATTTTGTGTTTCTTGTAATTTGTGTGGATGAGAAAATACTTTGATGAGGAAGCTCTAAGTTTTTTAGAGGCAACTCAGCAATGCTTCTTTGCCAGTGATTGGAAGATCCTCAAAGGGTACCTCGAGGTACCTGTAGGTAGTTTCATAGGTTGCGTGGTATAATCTTTGTGGGTGTTATTTTTCATGTTGGTTGGACGTGAGTCCTCTGTGATTAAGAAATGTATCGTATCTTTAATGAGTTTTTAATTGTAAAATCGTAATGTTTTGTTGACGTGTGTGGGTTCTTGATTATGTTTGACATGAATGTCCAATATACGTTCTTGATCCTTCTTATTAAAATTTCGGTTGGCTTCAATGTAATTAAAAATGAAACAACTCACTGTAATTCATATTTAACTTTGTTAATTTTTCGATGTCCCATTCGTAAATTATTCAGCACAATTCTCATTGGTGAGAAACAGTTGGTCTCAAATCATTTTCTCCTCCAATATGGCTCCATGCTACAAGCTAAAAAGTGCAGTGCACTATAATATTGGACCTATTTTTTTGTAAAAGAATATTATAAGTTGCAATCATCGAGCGGCAATTATATAATCAACCATTGTAGGCTTCCCCACATTTGCATTATCCATCGACGCGTGGAATCTACTTACTACTTATAATTCCTAAAAGAAACAACCAAGTATTATCGAGTGAGGCAGGCAATTTGGTTTGTGTCAAATTTATTTGATTAGTTTACGCTTTACGCGTACTCTAAGAAAATATATACAATATTTGGTGATAACGGAGAATTTGGTACAAAATCGAATGTAATGACGTTTTAGGATTCATAAATTGGCCCCATTTGATAAAATAAAGCTTTGTTCATGTTGTATTAATTTACACGCACATTACAGATTGAATAACTGAGTATTAACTATATGTGTAATTGTATAAGTTCCAAATGCTTTTTGCTTCAGTTAGATGTGCATGTATATGGACATTCGGTACAAAACCTCGTGACTTTGAACTTCGTCTTGTGGGCTGGTTTGGTATTGCTGTGCTTTGAAAAAAAGCTGCTGTGAGAATAAGCGGCTGTGAAATAAAGCCAGTAGAGTGTTTGGTAAACTTTTTTGTGAAAGTACTTTTGGAAAAAAAAATCAGGATGATAGTGTATCTTTTCATTAAAGGAGCACTGTAACTCCGTGTGCTTTGAAAAAAATAGCTTTTTTTCAAAGCAGCAAATAGCAACTTCAGCTTTTCCTTTGATTTTCAGCTTATTCTCACAGCAGCTTCTAAAATAAGCCTTTTTTTTCAGTTTACCAAACACAAAAATGACCCTCAGCTTTTTTTCACAGTGGTTTTTTTAAAATCACCTCAATCCCAAACGGGGCCTAAATATTTTGATGCCAGCCACGGATCCAGATGGATATTAACAAGTATATAGCTGCAGTGCAACTTCTTTTTCTTTTTATGCAAAAATTAATTCCATGTGCATAAAGAAAACAATTTAAACTACATGATTTATGAATTGATGTGATTTCAATGATTAAAACTTTAACTTGATTTCAGTGTTTAAAATATCGGTATCGGTGAAAATATCGATAAGCAAATTTGTGGAAATATCAATGGATATATTGTATGTCGATATTGATATCGATTAGCTTCGATGTAAATGATGGAAATTTGCTCAAAAACAAGGAAATTTAAAATCATTTTTTAGGGAATGTCATATTAAGCCACAACAACACACATATGAATCAAGAATTAATGATTATATACTGTGTAAACAATAAGTATGTGATATGTGAGAAGAAAAACTTCCTTATAATGACAAGTAATAAAATAAAGCATTTTACTAGAAAGAATAAATTATACATAACTTAATTAAAAGGCTTATTATATTAACACCCCATAAATTGTTGAATAAAGCCCACATACTTCTCTATAATACACCCACACCCTACATTCTCAATATACATCTTATATTTTTTACATACACCCCACATTTCTCAAATCTTATAACACTCATTTTTAATTTTCATGGACTGAATCTAAACATTTAAACGTTTCGTTTGCTAAATGATTTCAAATCATCTGAGAGCCATTGATATTTAATACTATATGAACAGATGCAACTCAATTTCATGCGTGTGGCTGTCTAACATTCAATTGAAATAGATTCCTATAGTTGCTACCCTTTTTCTCAAGGGTGGCCACATAAAATGTTGCCTTTCTTAATCGCTAAACTTTTCTCTTGGGGATGATAAGGTGGGTTTTCCCAGACATATGTTGTCATTCATTTATTGAAGAACTAGGTCTCCATCTTTCTTTCTTTTTTTTTTGTCGAAAAGAACTAGGTCTCCATCTTTCTAATACAAATAACATAAAAGAACCAACAAATTTGATGGGGATTGGCACCAAATGATTCCATTAGACCTTCAAAATTACCTTCTCTCAATACATGTGGAAGGTATATCGATTTCGTGTTCCATTAATCAAAAATAATTTTTCTTAATCAACATGTCTGTAGTTTCATTGGTTAGGGTTTCGTTCAACAATGGAGGGTGAGAGGGGTTTTGATAGTTGGAGAAGAGAAATAATACGCTAAAGGTGATTTGGGGTGTATTTAGAATTTTTTTTAAAATTTTTTTTAAACCTAATAAGGTCAAAATTATCATTACATAGTGGAGTAAATAAGTTATTTAATATTAAATTTTAATGTGGGGTGCTAATATAAAAAACCTAATTGAAATTTTCGTCATGAAAGCAGCACAAATTTTATTGAAGTAAACTAATACCATAAAGAAATAAATTTAAAAAATAAAGAATGCATAGGCTCATAGATATTTCCTGCAAACTTTTTGCAAATTGTCTGCAAACACTAGATATTTCCTGAAAATATTGAAAATATCTAGAAAATTGACTAATTTCCGAAAATAACGTGGATATGGGATGAAGTTTAGACTTCACCCCTTTTTTCCAGATCGTTCCCTGAATTTTTGGATATTTCCTTCGAAATATTTAACATATCAAGGATATTTCAAACACTGCTTGATTTACACTATGAAGTTGAAGTTTTAAGCACACCCTTATAAGTGAGATCTTTATTTTTTGTACTTTTAAAATAGGATTAAGTCTGGATACGTACCTAATCTTTAGGTGTGATTTCAAATTGGTCGTAATCTTCCAACCACTTAAAAAAGCAATGATCAAATAATTATCGACAGCCAGAAAATCTTCCAACCACTTAAAAAATTATCGTATAAAGTTAAAAACCTTTAGAAAATCTTCTTCATGTTAAAAGTTAATTATCTTCTTCTTCATGTTAATTAATTATCGTATAAAGTTAATTAACATTTTAAATAATTACTTAATATTTTAAAAACTAGATATTTGTTAGGTCACGGCGTTAGGTGATGACTTTAATTACTAACAGTAAGTGATGATATTTCTAGCATTACATGACAAGGTGGACAAACACTAGAGTTGATCTCCACTAATCGTCGTCTTTGGAGCTCTAATTCCCCAAGTTGACTCCTTTTAAAACGTTGTAAATAACTATCTAACGTCTTAAAAAATAGACATTTGTTAGGCTCACTAGTGTTAAGTGACGATGTGGACAATCATTTTTTATTTTTTTTAACAAACAATATTATCTACACTAAGGGAGAGAGGTGAGCTTATCCTCACAATGGGTTAGCAATAATATGATACAAATTCGCCTTTGGCAAGAATCAAACCTAAAGACTTCTCACTTACAAATGAAGAGGAATATCAATATACCATAGTACTAAGTGGCAATGATGTGGACAATTATTAAAACGGGTTTTACTCTCAAGTTGTATATGGATCTTTGAATTTTCAAATCGACGCAGTTTAGTTAAGCAAATTTATGACTTAAATTGGGTAGTTATTCGTACTTAACCCTTTAAAATATATATATAGTTAGTTTCTTCCAATGATGAGAATATCTTTGTAAAAGAATTTATTATGTGTCTGCTCTGTTTGTAAGATAATATGACGTTCACTAGTCTAGACCCACTTCAAAATGTATTTCATGATCTGAATTGCTCTTTTTTTTTAACTATCAGTAAAAACCATCTTTAGAATAATTCATTCAAATATGATGAATCAACACAATATTTTCCATACATGGTAAATTGGTTATGACAACAATCAATTTTTTATTTTGATCAACTTTTACGGAGATGATCTTTAAATAATTTTTTTTAAGATTTGAATTGTATAAGAAACGATTATTAGCACCGTATCGACTTACTAAGATGCATATATACCACTATTGATAAATCTCTAGGCTCTAGTTATTATATTCCAATTGAAAAAAAAAAAAAAAACATCTCTAGATATTATGTTACGGAACAAACACGGTAGAGCAGTTGATCAGACTGCAAGCTGAAGCCTACTTTACTTTCCAAGTAATGAGTACTAAAAAACTTTAATTATATGAAGAAAGTGGCATATGCATGCAGTTAAGAAGATCATATACGAACATAACATGCACGTCAGTGTCAATTAGCCGTGATTAGATCGTCACTAGGCTTTCGACCAAACAAATAAAAAGGATATTCTCATTTGGATGAAATCTTATCTGTTCTTTTTCTTACATCCAACTTTGTTGGTTCGTTTGGACAGTCTGCAATACATGCCGAGGATAATAGTACGATGACACAAACAAAAGTAGTTTGTTAAGGATTCACGAACGATTCTCCTTTAATATAGAATTATGAAAATTCAGAGAAGTTCTCGTTTAAATTGATAATACGATGAAAGTAGACTGAATACAGCCCTAACAGTCGAATATAAAGTCATTGGGAAAACCCTAGCTGCAAAAGAAATTAAAAAGAGAAATTAAAAAAATTACTTAAGCACCCAATAAACTTAAAAGCTGTTTGTAACCCCCTAGAGACGATGTTCAAAAAGCGCCTTATGTAGACTATTGACCGCAAGTCTTCGTCGCTCGCCGTTCGAATCACGTTTTCCAGCCCCTCGCCAGAAGATTAATGCAAATTATATATATATATATATATATATATATATATATATATATATATATATATATATATACAGAGAGCTTAAGGAAAGGGATCCCCATTTTTTCAAAAAAAATGGGGACACGCTCCTCACCGTTAGATTGACTTTAATGAAATTGTGTGGTTGAGATTAAAACACAGGCCACAGAATCTCAACCACATGATTTCATTAAAGTCAAATCCAACGGTAGGGAGCGTATCCCCATTTTTTTTGAAAAAATGGGGATCCCTCCCCTTAAGCAATTCCTATATATATATATATATATTGTGTGTCAAAAATGAGGGCAAAATAGGAAAAATAGGGATATGATTGTCATTTTGTCAAAAGATACAAAATTACTATTTTGCTCTCCTCGTGTCAACATTGTGTATTCAAAAGTAAGGGCAAAATTGGAAAAAAAGGGGGCAAAATGTTGACAAGCCCTCTTCTCTTAATAGAATAGTATAGATAGATGAAGAAGATGATAATTAACTTTATACGATTTGGTGCCGTTGAATGAGTACATATCCTCTTCGAATTTAATAAAAACTGAGCCTAAGGATCAAATGATCCGGACTATTGAAATTTGATCCAACGGCTACAATTATTATAACTTTAGAGAGGCTCTATGTTTGTAACCGTTGGATCAAATTTCAACGACTCGGATCATTTGATCCTTAGGCTCAATTTTTTTAGATCCGGAGAGGATTTGTACTCCGTTGAATATACACTTGATTTGCATGTCACTTTCTCTATATTTGGACATGCGTATTACTAAAACAATAAGGGTGTATGTATTTTGATACGATCAAACTCATAAAGCAGCAATCAATCAATCAACACAATATATAAAAGTTTGAAAAAAAACAGTACTCATAATTCCAAATATAATGACTCTATGTTTATCCAGAACAAAATATAGTTGTCGATAGATAAGCTTTCGTAGGATATTGATATGACCATACGTATTTCGTTTATTAATTTTCTTCTTTATTGTTGTCTAGGTTAAACTTTGATATATTCAAAATTAGGATCCGTTTATAGGATCCTCGTTGTCATTTCATTTCAGTGTTGAAAAATAAAAAAGGTTAAATTGTTTAAAAATGTTGCTATTAGTGTGCCTGAAACAGGATTCAGTGCACAAAATGTTATAATACAAGTGTTTGGATACTTAATAAAAAAAATTCAACCACTTATACCATGGTACTTGGTGTAGCTGACTGGGTTTTCGACACATTGAAAAATCTCTCTCTGTTTATAAGCAGTTCTGCTATTATTATATGGTGTCAAATGATCACAAGCTACTGATAATTAAAGAGTAAATTGGAAGCCAATTTTTGAAGGAGGATATAATTAGGTTTGAGACAAAAATGGCGGCAGGCATATTATTCATCATACATGATGGCCTTTTCCTTTGCTTTCCATTCACTCGAAGGCCGAAATGGAAGAATCATTGGTTTTGGATATTTGAAGCTTTTTAAATGGTTGGAAGGTCAGTTTCCATATCTTGGACTATATATCCAGTTTTTTTTTTTTTTCCAATTCTTATCAATGCCAGCTAGATGAGTATATTTTGAAGATTAAATGATAGAAAATTGGTTAAGATGATTTAGACACGTAAATTAAAGACGTACAAATGTTTCGATTAAAAAATGCGACTCTGTGAGACGGGGCCAGGACAAAAGGAGTGGATGAAGACCTAGAAAGACTTGGAAAGAGATTTTAAGAAAATATATGAAGTACTTGAAACTAATGGAAAATTTGATACAAAATTAAGCATAGTGACGATCTAAAATCTATACACCAACCCCACTTAGTGAGTTAAGACTTGATTGTTGTTGTAGCTTTGCTGCATTCGAGTGTGTCAACCCCAAAAAGTACTTCGAACTAAAACATATGCACTAAATGGAAGTGAAGTAACGAGTTTTGAGTAACAGTTTTGACACTTCCGATTCTTTGTGTCACTGCACTAAACTTGATGCACTTAACTGTCAAAAATTATACCAATTAGAGTATGAAAACAACTACTCACTAATTTAAGAAATTAGAGTTCTTTGAGATTTCTAACGATGTTGGCTTATGATTCCATTGTGAACTAGTTATACCCTCGTTCATAGAACAAGAACTGGCAAATACTCTTTTACAGTCAACGTCTCTCGCAACTACTATAAACAGAACTCCTATAAAATCAACATGCACGGAATCTCGCATATGTACATATATAATTTGTTGATGTAAAAATTCAAGTTGACTTTGGAACAATGCAAAGTGTCAAGGTGTGAGGTTGCTTCGGTCACCTAGTTTATTCTAGAGTTGACACGTGTCGCGTTATGATTGGTCTCCTTGTTGGAGAGAAGCTCTTGTGCTTCAGCATGGGTGCCTCATCACAAATTCTTCAAGTGAGACTCTGAAAGTATAAAGTTGACCGATGCTAGTTTTATGATTGATGAAATATGATACAAACAAACATAATTCAATACGAATTCCCATGAATACATACGTAAGATATGCAAACATGAAGTGTAAAAATTTTAAAGAAGACAATAATTTGCAATTATATGTAGCTTCAAAGTAAAGGCATAAGAGAGAACGCTTAGGCGTGAAATATCAAACATGAATGATGAATAGAGGTTTAAAGAGAGAGAATTAGAATCTATATAAGTAGCGGCTACAGGCTGTTGTCTGCAGAGTACGGTAGGGGGACCAATGCAAGTAGTAGCTAGCGTGCTATCGTTGGTGTCTTCCTTCCCAAAATAAGTATACGTCAGGGATTTGTCATTATTATCATTTTCGTTGATCGTTCTATCTTTACATAGAGATTTTGGCATAGTTTCTTCGCTTGTATCTTTTTCATTTACTTTCATCTTTATCAATAAATTTGCAAAGTGATCCTCACCCTGAAGGTAGGTGTCTCCACATGACTATTGCTGAATAGTTAATCTCGTCTAATTTTTTTCAAATAATTAAAAATAAAAAAGATTGTGTAAGGGACCCGCGGTGTTGGATAAGACATGCTTATTGACTTGGCACCCAAAATTTTCCTACTGCTTGCTCTAACTACTCAGAGAATCAGCGTGCATCATATCAACTTCTAGACTTTTTATTTGCTTTGTGCTCTATAATTTTAGGGTTAAGTGTATCACAAGTACAGTTGTTGAATCTCGATTGTGATATCGTGCATGAATTGCCTGGTAATGTGAATGTGAGCCGTGATCACAAAAATGGATATGGTAAAGGGGTGGTGGGCGGCGAAAGCGATAGCGATAGCGAGGGTAGGGGCGGTGATGGTAGCGGCAATGGTGACAGTATGATGGTGGTGACAATATTGGGGTGTGTTGGTTCGGGTGAAAATATCACAATAGTGGTATGGGCAATGGTAGAGGCAGTGGTGACGGTTATGATTGTGATGGCAGTGGTGTCGGTTATGGTAGTGGCGGTCACGCTGGCAACAACAATGGCGGTGGATATGGTGGTGGTGTTTGTGGTGGTGTTGGTGGTGGGGTTGGTGATGATTGTGGTAGTGATGGTGGCAACAATGGTGGTGGTAATGACTGGGGGTGTTCATAAAAGGTTTATATATATATATATATAAGTAGCTTTTAAAAACAACTTACAAGTTGTTTTTAAAAATTGTTGTCTGAAGACCATTGTTTTTAAAATAAGCAAGATATTTTGTTTTTACCAAACACTTATTTAAAGCTTAACTTTAACTTTAAAATAAAGCAGTTTCTGACGAAAAAAAATCAATACCAAACGAAGCCGTAATCATACAGAGATAATTTTAAAAGTCACCTTCCCCTTGAAACATTAAGTATATAGAATAAATAGACAATTATTTCGTGATGTTATTTACTTGACAATATTGACTAATTTCTGGATGGATAGGTACATAAATTATAAGGAATGGGGGTGTGCTTTTATGGCCCTTGCTAATTCCTGGTAGCACCATACAACTTCGTAATGCCAGTTGACCCTATAAAAATTACAACAGCACCAGCTCCGTTTTGTGATCTAAAAATTACATGAGACAAAAATAAAATCGAAAACAAAGACGAAACATGTACACAAATGTGGTATCATTGAAATACAAAATGGACCTTCTCACGTCCTCGGAAGGCTTCTTACGTGCATCCGGGGACGGAACCAAGGACCATATCATCTGGGACCGGACAACTCATCCGGAGGAATATGAGAAGTTGAGTCTATGATCCAATTAGTATTTGGATGATGAATAGGGTTGTAATCTTGGCGGAACACCTCCTCTTTCTGCCACTCCTCCCATCTTTCGGCCAAACCATCGCCTTCAAGCATTCGGACAACCTCTGACATCTTGGGCCGATCCCCTGGGGTGCCTTGTGTGCACAGTAGAGCTACTTGGATCAGCTGCTCCACTTGATCCTCAACATAATTTCCATTTAGATCAGCATCAACAAGTGTTTCCAACCTCCGATCTTTCAGTAGTCCTTTGACCTAATGTTTTTCGTTAAAACAAAAAGGAAAATGTCAGCTAGTTCTACGATTTGAAACAAAAGGTGAGGGCACCTAGGAGAGTAAAAATGTGTTGTAATGTTCAAAATTTGAAGGGCCGCAGTTCTCTCCAGAAAATCAAACTGCTTACAATAATGTATCATCATTCAAATATTGATATGATGCAAAGATAAGACAAATGAAAATAGAGAGAAAAGAAAGAAGCGAGGAGGCCAAGATAGATCGACACAAAACACATGCCAAATTCTTCAAGAAATCACAGTAAGGCCAATAGATCGGCAAAAGAAGCAACAACAATAGTAACAATAATTACTAAGATAATGTAATAAATTAATCTCTTAACAATTTAAACCTTAGGCTGCTATAAATAAAGATAAATAAATCTTCGCAGCTTAATCATAACTCTAACTAATAAAAGGTAATTAAACCAAACTTATTTTCTAACGCTAATTATAATTTTGTTTCTTCGATCCATGATTCTAACTGTTTTCTACATTTCGACCAAAAAAGACAAGTGATTTTTACAGTAATCAAAAAGGAACTTGCAGCCGCATAAAGAGTAACAGGTTTTTAAAGTATCCTTACAAAGAACAAACTAAAATGATTACAGAAATGTTCCATGCAGAATGATTAAGAATGTCATAAGAGATTAGCGATCTGAAATAAAATCAATAAGTGTGGAGACCCATTATTTTCGGCTAAAATAAATAGCAACACTGGTAACGGGAGATACACCTAATTAACAGTATATTATATAACATTTCTTTATAACTTTGAGGTTTGAAACTTTGATAATTTCCAAGATTTGGACTTAGGGACACAAAATAAAGTGAAGCAAGAATATTGCTGAATTTCAACAACATTATGTCTTTTTGATAAAATATGAAAGATATTATGGAATATAGAATGATAAAATTTAATCAGAAGTGGACCTAATGCAAATATTGTTGGGAAATAACCTTGCATATAACAACAAATTAACAACAAATTAGCTACATAAACAGACAGAAAGACATAAATACATACCCAATCAAGTAACATGACATCATCATCATTCGCAAGCCGAGCAAGATCAAAAGCCCTCTGCCCAGTGATGAGTTCAAGAAGCATGACTCCGTATCCAAAAACATCAGTTTCTCGGAAGACTTTCCAGTTGAAAGGTACTCTGGTGCTATATGACCAATTGTGCCACGTACAGCTGTTGTAACATGTGTATCCTTGTAGTCCATGAGTTTAGCCAATCCAAAGTCTCCAACAACTGCTTCAAATTCCTCATCCAACAATATGTTTGCAGCTTTCACATCACGGTGAATAATTTTTGGATCACAGTGATCATGTAAATAAGCAAGGCCTCTTGCAGAACCCAATGCAATGCATTGTCTTTTTGGCCAATCAAGTGCAGCTTGATCTTCTGGACGATCTAGAATAATTTATCGACATAATTATGAATTAGAATTTTAAATTACCAGCAACAGGTGGTTTCATTTTACACATATTATACCACCCATCCTACCCAAAAAAAGGTCATCTTGTTATCCCTTTCAAATTAAACAGAAATAAAATCAACATAAACGAGGTAACTTAAAATTGAAGAAAAAAAGATCATTAAAAAAATATCTGTGTTGATACTCCAAACCAAGTTGGTCAGGTGTATAAAATTTTATTAATGTAATCCAAATAATTTTTAATGTCGTGAAACAAATATTTCATCAACGCAGCAAATAATTTAGAAGAGTACCTCTTAAACATGATGCCACACTTCCATTAGCCATATAAGGATATACGAGCAGCCTTTCTGTTGGTGTCATGCAAAAACCACGTAGACGAAGCAGATTGCGGTGGACAGCCATGCTAATCATTTCAACTTCTGTTTGGAACTGTAGCTCCCCGCCTTGGGTTCTCTCCTCTTTAAGTCTTTTTACAGCAACCAGAGTTCCATCAGTTAAACGTCCTTTATAAACCTTACCAAATCCACCTCTACCAAGAATATTTTTGTTGCTAAAGGTATCCGTTGCAACTTGTAGCTCACGCAAAGAAAACCTTTTGAGCTGTCCTAAATGAACTTCTGGATCCTCCTCAGCTGCAAATACAGTAGATGAGTGAAACCTACATCCCATACTACAACACGATCAAGCTATATTACTCTTAATAGTTCACTAACCAGGTACATCAAAGAAATGATCCTGTGGTTTTCTTCGTCGCCAATAAGCAAGTGCAATTGCAGGTGCAGCAAACAGCAAAGCGGCACCAGCAGCAACCCCTCCAGCAATAGCCCCAGTAGCAGTGGTGCCTAATATGATTCACCAGAGGTAAAATGGAAGGGTTATTTGCGTAACATGAACCAGATTTAAATGAAAAATCCTTAGAGTCAGATGCTCTCTCTCTCTCTCCCTCCCTCTCTCTCTCTCTCTCTATGAAATAGTACAATACAAAATTAGGAGTATCCTCTCAGATCCTCAACCGCTTCCTTTCCTAACTAGCATCTTCTTAGAATCTTTACAGCAGTGATTCCAACAATAATGTTATATTATTAAAAAAATTAACAGAAAAACACCCAAAAAATTAACTATCAATATCACAAGTGTATGTGAAACAAAATAGAGCCAGCTCTCAAAATAAATTTGAGTTAATATAACAAGAACAGAACACTATAAGTTGTAAAAACCTGGAGAACTTGGTGGGGGAGAAAGGGGAGGAGGTGGAGAGGCTGGAAGTGGTTTCAGAAGAGGATTATTGTTAAAACTGCAAAATGAAGAATAGCAGTCAGTACCTCATTTAGATCATCAGCTGGGACGGCCACTGCAGGGAAAAGGTAAAGAAAGAGAATAAAGTTGCTTCAACAAACCTGATGGGAGTAAAAAGTGAAAAAGATCCATTGACAGGAATATCCCCTGTCAGATTGTTATTTGAAAGATCCCTGCATTCCATGGGAAAAGAGAAAACTACATGTTATCTTTGATGGCAGATAAATTAGTAACTTTTCTCTCTACACCCTTCTTATTGAGATGAAAGTATATGAAACTCACAGGACTTGCAATGATTCGATTTTAGTCAAAGTCATGGGAATATTCCCCGCCAAGGTGTTGTTGTTGAGACGCCTGTTTCATGGAACAGAAAGTGTTAAATCACAAATAATCGCAATAACAGATTATATTTTCAATACATAATTATTCAAACAATAAGGGACGCAATTAATAAAATGTGAACGTAGTTTTGTGATAATTCATTTTCTTTTACCACTGTTCTAGTCGCCATATAAACAACAGAAGAGTATGTGAGTTCTAAGTGTGCATAAAGTACATATGGACAGAATAGACAAGCGAACAATGAGCTAGGAAACTTTCTAGACATCCTACAAGATATGAGAGTTCACCCACTCTGGTTACAGAATTCCTTTCTATTTCCCCTAAAATATATTTCTGCAAATAAGAGTCGACGGATTTTCCTCTTACTATAAATTTCATTGTTGTCGATATTAACATCCGCGTGTTGAGGCCCTTCACTGTTTAGGACTCACTCCTCGAAAAAGTCAAAACCTTTCCTGAACACACACATTCTAGCTCAGCACCTTACATAATATGGATCTCATAACTGTTACTGCTAGAAATACAAACGAATAATTCTCAAAATTTCTGGAAATTCAAGATCTGCTCTTTGTAACGTAGACTCAGTATTCATCTAAATAAATCTCCCTAAAATTCCACATGAAGTTTCAGGGAAGCAAAAAAGAGAGCAAAATAGTTTACTTAGGGTAACCCTAAGAAGATGTTACAAGGGTGGCTCGAAAATTAAAAAGAAAACAATAATACTCTCCTATTAAATCTTAATGTTATACTTCCATTTGCACTATATATGAGTGCAATCAGATATATATATACACAAACCTTTTCGATAAGATTTTGAAAACGAGGAAGATGCGAAATGAGTGGCGAAAAAGCACTTTGGTGCCCATCAGCAAGAATAAGGGCGACATATAAAATTGCATGAGTTATACGAGTATTAAGTTAATGGGTCATACAATGAAGCTTATGGGAGAGTAATTGAGCATAGACTGAAGCAAGAGACACGGGTCTCAGACAATTCGGGTTCATGCCAGGGTGCTCGACTATGGAGGCAATCTATCTCTTACGAAGATCGATGGGACAATATAGAGATATACAAAAGGATTTGCACATGGTCTTTATAGATTCGGAAAAACTGTATGATAGAGTCCCAAGAGAAATTCTTTGGAGGATTCCAGAGAAGAAATGAGTGTGAGTAGCATATATCCAAGCAATAAAGGATATGTATGATGGTGCAAGGATTGCAGTAAGAACTCATGAAGGACAAACTGAAAGCTTTCCCATATCCATAGGGTTACAGTAAGGCTCAACTTTAAGTCCTTACCATTTTGCATTGGTAATGGATGAGCTCACGGGACATATTCAAGATGATATTCCTTGATGTATGCTTTTCATAGATGATATAGTGTTATAGATGAAACTCATGAGAGAGTAAATGCTAAGCTTAACCTTTGGTGGAAAGTGTTAGAATCTAAAGGTCTTCGACAAAGTACATGGTGTGCAATTGTAGTGGGAAAGGGGGTCCAAATGGGATACGAGTAAGGGTTGGAGATCAGGAAGTATCAAAGAGTGAACGCTTTCATTATCTTAGATTTATCTTGCAAAAGATCAGAGAATTGGATGGAGATCTCAACCATAGACTACAAGTTGAGTGGATGAAGGGGAAGAGTGCATCAAGTATAGTGTGCGACCGTCGTATGCCACTAAAGCTCAAGGAGAATGTTAAAAGGACGACAATAAGGTCAACAATGCTTATGGCACAGAATGTTAGGTGGTCAAGCATCAACACGTGCAAAAATGAAAGTAACGGAGATGAGAATGCTTCGCTGGATGTGTGGGCACACGAGTTGGATAGGATTAAGAATGAGCATATCCGAGGTAAAATAGGAGTGCTTACAATTGAAGAAAAGATCAAGAGAAAATCGGTTAAGGTGGTTTGGACATGTCAATCGAACACCTACAGATGCTCCGGTTAAAAAAATGTGATTACAAGATAGAGACTCAAAGCAAAAGGAGTAGAGATGAAGACTTGGGAAGACTTGGAAAGACACTTTAAGAAAAGACATGGAGTACTTGGAGCCCACAGAAGACTTGGCGCCAAACCAAGCCCAATGACGTTCTAGGTTTCATACAGCCACAACCCCACTTAGTAGAATAAGGCTTTGTTGTTGTTGTAATTTGATATGTACATAGACTAGAATAGTGTTAATCATAATAAATAGAAACTTCATAGTCTCACTTCATACTAAAACCTCATGAACATGATTACTAGCACAATTAATCTTTTTCGAGGCAGTCTTAACTATATAGAGTATTCAGAAGCACGGCACTCGAAAATACTTAAAAGATAAATGAAAGGGCCTTTTCAAGGCTCGAGCTATTATATACCATGCAACCTGGGATTTCATAATTGTCACGGTAAAAGCTATGGAAACTTAAATTTTTCTTCCTTTCCTATTTTTCCCCCCTTTTAGGATAGGGGATCTATAAAAGAGGAGAAATAAAAGAAAGATATGTGGTATAACAGAAACGGGAAGCTACAAATATAGGAGCTCCTGTTAGATCTTTAGTATTTTTACCCTGGTGATTATAGCTTAATGCCTCTTTGCATTAGAGTTCCAAATTCCGATCACCAAGTGAACTAGTCTCCCTTCTTGTGAATCTTGAAATCAGGGATCATACTATAAATTATATGCATCGGGCATAAGGAATATTTGCCTTCAAGGTTCCAGTTACGTGTTTTCCTATATTTTGTTGACGTTTATTGTTCTATCACTTGTTTATATTGTTGTGTTCCTTCTTCAAAATTGTTAAAACTCAAGCTATAGCCTATATGCCTTGATGTTAATATTCAGAGATCATAGTCAACCTAGGTAATATTTTGGGTTCAACTGAAATCCTATCGTGGACTTTAAGGAAGAAAGTCACTCCAACGGAGCAATTAAAAACAGTAGATTAGCATATCGAATAAAAAAGAAAGACAAAGGATAGCGGTTCATACAGGAAACGTAGTTTTGCAAGGTTGCCAAGCGTCTCTGGAATGTTACCATGTAAATTGTTCAAGTAAAGATCCAAGCTCACCAAGTTTGACAAACCCCCAAGCTCTGGGGGAATGGTTCCGGTTATGTTATTACTGTAAAGTTCCCTGTCAAGAAAGAGTGTTTCGATATGTCAAATGCAGTAGGTGAATTCATTCATCAGTGTATCTATACCAATTTCAATTCGAATACATACTGATGGAACAGTTGGATAAGAGACACGAAAAAAAAGCAGAGCGAAAAACACACTTACAAGTACTGCAACTTGGAAAGCACACCAAGCTGTGCCACCAGTTGACCAGAGAGATTGGCATTGCCCAGATCACTGGGTGGAGCAAAAATGTTAGAAATTTCGTGCAACGCTATTTTTGCTATTACAAGTGAATTGAACTGAATTGAATTCAACATAATTGAATCGAAACGGAGGTGTTTGTTGGGTTCGCTTACACTCGAGTAACGCTATTTTCGCTATTACAAGTGACGTGAAACCAGGTACAGGGATTGACGAGAGTCGGATCCCAACTCTGCAGAACATTGTTTGGATCAGCTAGATTGCTCTTCAAAGCATTCAATGCGTCACCTGTCCAACCAATTATTCATTCATTCATTAGTTCATTCCAATTCCCGCAACCAAACACGCCCAAATTCACAGACACAGACGTACCTTCGACGTTGGCAGCAAGCTTCTGGAGGTGAAAGAAGCCAAACAGCAGAATCAGCCAAAATGCAGAAGCAGAGGCGGAGGACGTCATCAGTGTTGGGTCCATTGGAGCTGAGCTCAGCTCATACACGAATCCCTAATTCCAATTCTAACAATTGGGGAAGCAGCTGGCGTTGACCGATCAAAATCTGGAGCATCTCTGCGTTGACCGGATTCCAGAAAATTCGGTGGCCTTTGCCTCTGCTTTGGCTGTTGATTAAATTGCAGATTGCGTATGGCAAAGCATGCTTCTCACTTCTTAGAGAGAGAGCTTAGAGAGAGAGAGAGTGAAATCTCAGAGCCTCAGTAGTTTTGGAGAAGAAGGAAAAAAATGGTAAAAGGTTTGGGGGAAGAGTTGAGGAGCTGCGGGAGGAGGGCTCTCAGTCAAAGTCGCAGCCCACCACGTTGGAATTTCCTTTTTCTTCTTTTCTTTGTATTTATTTTTTCTTCAAATTTCTAGTCCTTGAAAACTAGCAATATTCTACACGTGGGAAAGTGATAGGTTTAAATTCGAGATCCGGTTGGAAGTAAGAGGTATTAGGTTTGAATTTCATCGATGACAATTTGATATCAAATTAGATTATCTATTGTGAGGTTTAGCCGAACTCCTTATCCTCTTAGTGTAAAAATATCAATGTATTAAAAAAAATTCGAGATACGATGAGTTAAATTAAAATAGAAAGACACTAATTATTAGAATGAAAGATTATTCAGCGTGTCGAGAACAAGTTTAATATTTTGTGTTATAATATAAGTGGTTGAATATTTAAAAAAAAAAATTAACTACTCATAATATAGCACTTAATATATTGAGTCGTGTTACTGAAAATTTTCTTCACTGTGACAATTCACACGTTGGAAATTTCCTTTCTTCTTTTCTTTATATTTATTTTTTCTTCATTTCCAATTACTGTATATTATTTTTTGGGTGAAAATTGTTCTTCAACCACGATTTGTCTCCCGGCCCCACCATATGCCCTTATTGACTTGATGACAGTCGACTGCACGCACACCATTATTCTTCACCTTGAGTAAACACGACCAGGGAGTACAAAAATGGTTGGGAAATTGGAATATATATTATAAATATGAGTAATGGTAGTAAAACTAATTTATAGATAAAATTTTGTAAATAAAATGATATGGAAATTGATGATTAAATTATTACTTAAACGTTGATAAACGTGTTCAATTTTTATTGGTGACACTGACATATCATTTTGTTTGCAAATTTAGTCTACAAATTTAGTCTCTGTAGTATTACTCTATAAATTTATGTTGCTCAAGTAGAAAGATCGACGCGAGAATTATAGATAAGATAGTGTTATTCACTCACTCATTTTTACGTCTCACATACCCTTGTTAATTTTTTGTCATTCATCTTTTTCAATTTCTTTGATCTGACAGCCGAAAATTAAGGCAAATATATGAAAAGTAAAAGTAGATGTATGGATAACAGTACATTTATAGATATTATATTGTGATAGAATAGAAATTGTTTATGCGATGTTCATCTAGTGATGCAACTTGAGTTCAGTCAACTCGAATCAACCTATACCCAACTCAATTTCAAACCCAATCAAGCAAGTTAATATGAAGTAAAAACTCGCTTAGACCCTACTCCACTCAACCTGTTCATTTATTAGGTTAGATTTGGGTTGAGTTTTTGCCATCCAATGTCAACCCAAACCCAACCTGATTTATAACCCAAATTTTCTCATGACATATCACACATCCCGATTGGTAATATATATAAGCAAGGTACACATTTAGGGATGACAATAATTGAAGGTTGTTGTCGGTTTTCATTTGAACAATGAATCATAATGTTCATTTACGTCTCTTTTGATTGAAATTTTGGTATTCTCTTGTTATTTTATTTCAATTTTGGTATTCTCTTGATGTATAAAACCGAATCAAAGCCAATCCAACTCAATTGGTTTGATTTTCTTCCAAAAATAAACCGAACCGACCGGAAAAGACAATCACCGGTGGATGACGTTAATTAATTTGGGGCCATCACATGAACCGTACTCCGTTGTCTGAGTCTGGGTTTGGTTTTCTCTAAATAGTATGAACAATTAAAGTATTTCTAAAATCAATTAAAGTATTTTGCTTTAATGACGAGTTTGATATCAATTTATCTTCTACCTAAATACATATCGTTGTATTTAAGAAAGAAACTAATTTTAGTTTTATTTCCATGCTTTTAAGAGAAAAATGACTCTTAATATTTAACCGTAACCACTAGCAATTGAAGCAGTTAAGTTTTAGGAACGACGTCGAGTAAATGCCTGATGTAGAACATGTAAGATCGCATCAGAATAACAAGAAACCTCAAGCTCATTGAAACTTATATGTTCTGAATTCTCAGCACAACGGAACAAGAACGAGATCCTGTCGACAACCTAGTAGCTAGCGAAGAACAAACTAGCCGCCTCTTCGGAGATGGCAACTCAAAATAGCACCAGAACAACAATCTTCCTATCTAAACTAGACAACAATCTTCCCATCTAAACTAGACATACAGAATGCCGCCTTGATCACACGTTTGCGAACTAAAAAACGTCGTATGCACAAAATAGCTCATACCCGACATGACAGCTTCACCGTTTTCCAGCGTTGATTCTTGGCTTGCCTTTAACCTCAGCTTCCTGCAGCCACGAAAAGGGTAACAATGCAGTTTTGGTATTTCCAGGCCTTCATCAACAAAATTACTGGAAACGTACGGTCAGAAACATACCTGGGGCACATGGAGGTAAATGTAGTTCTTTGCAGTAGCAGGATTATGATTTTCAGCGCCCTTGCTCCAATCATAGCAAACCTAGAAACATACGTCGGAAAGGATCTTCATTAAAATATTTAAAAATTATGAGTAAACTATATGGAATTTGCGCAACCAGTTTTCGAGTCAAATTGGTTCTCAAAGATTAGAACCATAAACCAGCAGTATAATCTCGACAGAAACAATAGTGAAAGACAAGCAAGTCTACAGAGCGAAAGGTTCATTGGAGGTATAATCGAAATTGCATAAAGGTTGTCATCATTGCAAGAAGTACAATAAAAATGCATACACAACGGTATTGCCTGAAGTTGCAGTGGATACAACATACTTCTACCACTTTATACCAGTTGAAGAACACAACTTCTATGGATGTATACAACTTCCAGACTCCATTCATTTCCCCAGATTTAAAAGAGGAAAACCATAAAAGTAAGGATAGTATTTTCCTTTTCCTAAACAAGTTGTACACCATGAGTCAGTCCCATGAAAGTTTGAACGACAAACCTCAGACACAAAACCCTCGTATTAGTTGCAAAATCACAAAGAAAGAGACTTACTGCGTATGCAAATATGGAACCATCACTGTTGAAAGCACTGCAAGGAATAGGTTGACTGCACCTTGCCATTGCCTGAAAAAAATCAGAAAACCCTCTATTAGACACTTGTACGCATACAAAACAAATTATCAGCAACCAAATATATCACCAGATTAGCGGTAACTTGAACTGATCAGAACCCAACAGTCAAGATGCTCATAGTTTAAGCATAATACAAAAACAAAAGCAGTAGAAAATAGATGTGGAAGAAACCTTTAGTCTCTGTTTGCTATCCTTATCCCAAAAATTGAAAGAACCGTCAGAACCAGCGGTAGCAAATGTGTGATGGACCTGATCGAGGAACACAAAATAAGCTCTAATGTTTGACAAATAATAGAAAACCAAAAATGAAGTCTCATAATTTATCCAACATCTCACCCAACAACCTAACAATAACCATAATGAACATGCTGTGAACGTTGTATAAACTAGTTGGATGGAAACTGTCAAATAAATAGGCATTCCAAATATTGATTCTGAAGTAAACTCATTCCTAAAAGAAGACAAATTCGAACATGAAGGTAAGATTTAACTTGACCAAAGCCGCCATTCAGACAAAATAATCCAGTAAACATAGCAATATAACTTTACAGATTCTCATACACTATGACAATCCAACAACCAATTTAATACAGTACGTGATATAAAAGAAAACTTCAAAACAAAAGAAAATAGTAATTCAAGGATTATTTAGAAACATTTTGCTTTTTATATTTCAGAATTGAAAAGAGTGAAAAGAAACAGGAAAAAGGAAAGAGCAAGATGAGACATTACAGAGGTGAAGAAGAATGCATGTAGCGAAAAACACAAACATTTCCCTTCAAAGTGTTTTGACTTTTGAGTTTCAAACTCTAATGTATTTCTCCCTCCTTCACCCCATCATCTCTCCTCTTAATGTCCTTTCCTGTTTCTTATCTTAAATTTTAAAACAAGAATATAAACAACCTAAAATAAATACGTTGGACCGTCAAGACACTGTCCAGACATAATTACAAACAAAGGAAAAAGATAAAGGAATCTTACTGGATGGAAGTTCAGAGAGTTGACTGAGTATATCTCATTGCCCTCTCTATGGCACTTGAAGGTAAAGTTTTTACTTTGTAGTCCATCATCCAGATGATGTACACCAACCCTCCCTTCAATAGAACCAACCTGGTCGGAGCATAATGTCAGAATCATAATTAATATAATTCAATAATTATTCAGACAAGATAAATAGGTTATGAATCAAAAGAATAAAAAGAGAGTATGACTGATCCTATGTCATGTTCAATAATCATGATAGTCAAAACAGAAAGTACAATGGCAAACGGTAGAACTGATGGCAAAGTGGTATATCAGTTATGAGTCTTATGACCAATGATATCAACATCAAATTTTCAAAAAGGCTATAATGCATTTGAGCAAATAAATTACACCCTGTGCTTTAGTGGAAGCACAAAAACACCCATCTCATACTGAAAAATTATAGCACTATAATCGAAGCCAAAAATTTTTAAATTAACTTGTCAGCGCTCATATTTTTCATGGTTTCTGCCTCCCCTAGATAACTAAGAGAATAACTATACTTTCAGAGAGAAACTAAACAGAAAACTAGAAGGACAAAAAAATAAGTAAAGAACAATTTTGAAGGGAAGATCAAATACTTACCAAGAATCCTTGCTGATCAGGAAATGCAGCAACACACCTTGTTTGATACTTTAGGGGTGAAACAATTCTCTTGAATTCTGTCTGTTGGTGATTGGAAATAATTGAAATCAGTAGCAAAAAATAGCATGTCAATGAAGGTGACCCAGTCAAATATTAGAATGTTTTAGATAACAAATCCCAAATCCATTGACTGGACTTGAAAACTTAAAAAAGAACAAGAAGCTTATCCTCAGGGTACTGCAAAAAATAATTAAAAGCCTAGACAAATGTTAATTTTGGAAACTAGGAGTCTAGGAGTAAACAAAGTTACTGAAGAACTAAGCTGCTTTAATTTGTCAATGTATTCTTGTTGCGATG